GTATCATAGCTACAAAACACACAATAACAAACATCACATTTCAGCACATGTATCATAACTACAAAACACACAGTAACAACCATCACATTTCAGTACATGTATCATAGCTACAAAACTTACAGTAACAAACATCACATTTCATTACATGTATCATAGTTACAAAACATACAGTAACAAACATCACATTTCAGTACATGTATCATAGCTACAAACACACAGTAACAGACAGTACATGTGTCATAGCTACGAAACACACAGTAACAAACATCACATTTCAGTACATGTATCATAGCTACAAAACACACAGTAACAAACATCACATTTCAGTACATGTATCATAGCTACAAATCACACAGTAACAAAAATCACATTTCAGTACATGTATCATAGCTACAAAGCACACAGTAACAAACCTCACATTTCAGTACATGTATCATACCTACAAAACACAGTAACAAACATCACATTTCAGTACATGTATCATAGCTACAAAGCACACAGTAACAAACCTCACATTTCAGTACATGTATCATATCTACAAAACACACAGTAACAAACATCACATTTCAGTACATGTATCAAAGCTAAAAATCACACAGTAACAAACATCACATTTCAGTACATGTATCATAGCTACAAAGCACACAGTAACAAACCTCACATTTCAGTACATGTATCATACCTACAAAACACAGTAACAAACATCCCATTTCAGTACATGTATCATAGCTAGCTACAAAACACACAGTAACAAACATGACATTTCAGTACATGTATCATAGTTACAAAACATACAGTAACAAACATCACATTTCAGTACAGTACATTCCACCTAATATCACCTCTGTTATTGTCACTTTTCGGTTATTATCATGTTTTTTGTGATGCACCGTTTTTTCTGCTATATAATCTATGCAATTCAATTGTTTTACTATCACCTGATTTTATGTTGATTTCTCTTAATATCACTTTATTTTGGCCAATGTCACAAAAAAAAATACAGGTAAATGGTGGTAATGATGGATGATAAATGCCCTGGGGACCTTCTGTCACACCCTGGACGCATTATATAAACAATGCCTCGGCCTAACAGGGTATTTTTTTACACCTGGCTGACTGTTAAACAAAAGGTTACACCTGGCTGACTGTTAAACAATAGGTTGACTTACATACTTGTACAATAAACATGATATTCACCTGTGGTTGGGGGAGCTAGGACAGTCTAACATCTGTAAACTTTTCTAATGCCAAGTGTGATGTATTCTTTCAACTAATTATAATACGGTACTATCTTCGATTACACACTTGCAGCACATATCTAAGGAAATTAACCTATAAAAAGATGTTACTAGCGAAAGAACAGTATATATATCAAGATATAGGTAAATATTTACCAAGTCTCATGTTTACAATTGAATTTGATGCAGAATACCAGCCAAACACTTGTATGCCTACATCACTACTGCAGTAAACAATCATAATTACAATCGTACTGATCGTCATTTTGTTATAACTATATGAAATGTAACTGCATACTGAAATGAAATACAAATAATATATTTATTTCTATACTTATTAACTTATATCTATATTTCAACTAGGGTAAAGAACAAGGTAAGTTACAAAATATCAATCTTCTTCGTAGAGCCACATTACTTAGGCATTTGACTAAGTTCACTTCCGGATTTGAGGGCTAGAAAAAATATGAGAAAATATGTATTCTGTTTATGTCATGTTTCTGTTAATATCATGTTTTTCTCTGACAAATGGGAAGTGATATTAAGAGAAATCTACTGTACATGTATCATAGCTACAAAATACACAGTAACACACATCACATTTCAGTACATGTATCATAGCTACAAAACACACAGTAACAAACATCACATTTCAGCACAAGTATCATAGCTACAAAACACACAGTAACAAACATCACATTTCACTACATGTATCATAGTTACAAAACATACAGTAACAAACATCTCATTTCAGTACATGCATCATAGCTACAAAACACACAGTAACAAACATCACATTTCAGCACAAGTATCATAGCTACAAAACATACAGTAACAAACATCACATTTCAGTACATGTATCATAGCTACAAAACATACAGTAACAAACATCACATTTCAGCACAAGGATCATAGCTACAAAACATACAGTAACAAACATCACATTTCAGTACAAGTATCATAGCTACAAAACACACAGTAACAAACATCACATCATCTAACTATAGTTTATTACAGATGAAAAAAATATCCTATATGCTTAGTAGTATACCTACAGACTGAATGAAAATATGTTGTAGTCTGCTGGTTCACAACAAAAGAATGAAGGTCTCTTGTCAGTCTGGAACATGTAATATCATACCCTCAGCTCTGACTGCTTAAAACCCTAATGCTTTTTTTTTATTTTCAGATGCAGGTTCCATACAAATACACCATGAAATGAACTCTTCTGAAATTCTTTATTCAATACGTATTACCATGTACAATTTATCTAATGGATCAAATGTTGGCATATTTTCAGGGCGAAACAATATTACTTACCGTCATGTTATATACAAGTATACCTAAAATGACACATAGACAGTGGTGTGTTCCTTTACTGAAATATCGCTCATACTTTGAAAGTCAATGTAATTCACTTTTTCCGGCAAACTCGACTACAATATTGATCGCAAAATCATTCACGAGGTGAAAGTTTGTTTTGAATCCCTCGCGACTAATTACAAAAAGGTGAGTTAGCGACGTGATATAAATAGTATTTGGAGGTTTGTTAACAAATCTTCATGTACCAAAACAACTTTTTTTAGGTCTTTCATGAAACATTCAAAAGTATATCCATGAGGTGTTAGGGTCAGCTTTTTCCGAGGCTGTAACAGAATATATTAAAACGAAAGTAAGCCACTGTATATCAGCAGAAAACGCTGATAGAAAAATAGGTCTTTTAAGACAATATGTGGTTTGCTCAATGCTTTTATTGACAGAGATGTGGATATACAACGTAACTTGCATTAAATAGTAAATTATTGTTTAATGCCATGCTTTTTCACCTGGCAATGATTCTACCTTCTTGTCCTTTTAAAACTCCTTATGATGAAATTGATCTCCTTTTGTTAAAACTTCATAATATTTCATAATATATATATTATAGCTTTATTTACATTGATATACGAATGCAAATAGAAAGGGCAAAAGAAAAAAATGTAAATTTACAACACGAATTAGAATACGAAAATATGAGCAAAAGGAAGTTCGAAATAAATTAAACAGAATATCGGCAATGCAGGAACAAAGGAAATATTGAAATGAACTTTTGCCCATGTACTTTTTTTTCTCATTTATTATTTACTCCTGTTCGATTTGTCAGCACATACACTTGAAAGTGTTTCCAGCAATATGATACTCTTTACGCCTCATGTACCATAGATGGCGTGTACAAAATCTAGTCACACCACACTAAACATAGTATACAAAGTATAACAACCATACACACCATCTACAGTGTTTACCATATACACTCGGAACAATGTCATGCATTCACATAATACATAACCTCCACACCATACGTTTAAGCATATATCTCCTATTCTGACATTCATAGGCAATTCCAACTAGACAAAGGCAAATTCAGTGAAGCGCGGTTTCACCTATTCCAGTTGGTATTCATATTGCCTATGAATTTTAACTGAAAGAAGTTAAATGCTTATAATTACAATTTGTGCAATTCGGTTAATTAATATATATAAATTCACTTCCATTTATCATTATATGATAAGAAAATTCCGTTCAAGATATATATTTAAATTATAGTGAACTGCCTATCAAAACAAAAGAACATTTGCATCAAACCTAATGTCATCTAAAGTATTGCTTGTTCCGATGGTCTCCTATTAATCAAGGCGGCCGGGAGGCTCCAAATGATCCAGTGGCATTCACAGCCCTATATACAAGGATTGCAGAGGCAATGCAAATGCATGTATATGTATCAATAGAAGACAATACTCAATACAATCACATACGGATGATATGAATTAAAACATCGCATTCATACATATTTGTACATAACATCGTATAGAAAATACTAAGGATTCCCTCAGCATCCCAACTAACTTGGGATCAACTCAGCATTCCAACTAATTTGGGATCCCCTCAGCACTCCCACTCCATTCCTGCCCGGTTTATCAGTTCCTGGATACTGACGTCTGATAATTATTTTCTCGACAAAACTTTTATAGAAAAAAAAACTACAACTTTAATTCACTGAAATTTGTACTTCTTATCTCATAACCTGATTTTTATTGATTTCATTGTTATTGTTTCTGAAAACATTTTACGCATACCACTGAATAATGGTCATTGGTGTTATTCAGTTACTTCGAAATGCTTTATGGGCGGGTTTGTCGAATGGTTAACACTCTGGCCTTCCAAGCAGGCGGCCGGGGTTCGATCCCCGTTGTCGCCGTACGCATGGGATATTAGAGAAAGTGTTTTTCTCCTGCCCACACAACTCCAACAACCCAGGTGGAGTATACAATGGTCTGGGGTGGGTGTTGCGGTATCTGTGCTGTAGCATTCAAGTGAGGTGGCACTATAAATGATACCGTTGGAAGCACGGTCCCACTACAAACAGAACACAATACATCTCCAGCACACACACAGGCATTCACACATAGGGAGATATTAGCCAGGTGGCATAGGACTAGGAGTAAGCGCCTGTAGGCAGCTCCTACGAATTCCTCAATATTGTATTGATTAATATATATATGATAATTGTATTGACTGTATATTTGTAATGTATATATTTGTACTGTAAAGCGCTTTAGAGTGGCTTATGTTAGCTAGAAAGGGCGCTATATCAAATGTTGTATATTATTATTATCATTATTATTTATGGTTGAGAAGTGGTTCATGAACTGAAATCCTTTCCTACAGTGTATATGATTTTATTTAAAATAAAATTATTATGATAACTGCCTTTTTTTCAAGCACTCTTATTCTTGGCATTGGCTGTGACACAAAACTTGGCTCAGAGAAAAACGGAGCCATGTCCTGACAACAAAGTAAGTAATATAAGGAACTTTCATTCTCCCATATCTAATCTTAAATATTTCAAAGGATGATATATGTGCGAGAGAAGCTTGGCTAAGCGCAACTGAAAACATGATCTTTTCAGTGTAGGTGTTTTTAAACTTGTATTTCTCAGGTTAATGCTGTTGGTTTCGAAAGTCGGGTACATTAATAATAAGATTGTATAGGACTGAAATTTCAAATAGAAGAATGCAAGAAACAGATGGAACTTGACAATACGCCAATGAAATAAACAGTTACTTAAAAAAACCTTGATGTGAACCATTTATAATCTGATAATGTAAATGTATAATTCTGGTATACTTCTCTTTACTTGCTTTTTCCAAAAATGCTATTTTGTCTTAGTAAGGGATCCCTATCCTACTGCTGAAAAAAAAAACATAAAAAATTCGACTGCGGATTTTCCCATATGTAGTTTACCTCCTTAATTTCGTTTTCGATATAAATGAAGCTTAATTGGGCGAAGTCAACTCCATCGATCAGGTAACTCAACAGAATATCAAACAGAGGTCTAGATTTCGAATTCTTGTCTGGCATCCAGAATTCGTACAATTGTTTTGTTTGTTTCATCTTTATTTTCGTTCACAAAAATCCTGCAAGATATAATTATTTCAGAAAATATTTATGAAAACTATCATCCTGCCAAAAAACAAATTCAGTTTATATTTAATTACTTTTTTTCTAAAAGAGGTACAGCGATCCTTAATTACTGTGTTTGCAAGTAAATCTGCCTTATTTGTTGTTTATGTTCCCATTATTTTTTACCTGTGTTCTGTTCAGTGAATATTGTCATTTAGCTTATTGTTTACTAGGAAATTTATTTCAAAGAAAACCACAAAAATAAATAAAATATAAATAAATATAAACTAAAAAAAAACCCCAGAAAATAAATACATTACAGTACAGTACCACAGTTTATTTCTTAAGTAGCCACCTTCCCGTAGCTGAGTCTATGGCTTAAATACATTGATATGTTTGTATCAAATACATATATCTGTATATTGCTATCAATATTGCTTATCAATAAAAATCACTAGATATAACCTATATATTTTAATTCAAATTATTGCAGCAAAGATGTCCTGACACAGGAAACTGTCAATATACCTGTGAGAAAGCGCTGAAAGGTAAGAAAAAAGGAAGTACACGAAATCCACATGAAACTTATTATAAGTAAAGCAAATCTGATCATAAATATTCAGTGTGTTGGGAATTTAGCGACAAAGGTATGTGTTTTTCTGATGCTAATTCAAATGCTTATTATAGTGATACTTCTATTGACTATATTACGTACCAATATATTGTTATTGGTGAACTAATTATTGTCCGGTTACCCCATTGACTCCCAATGACGAATTTGGACTGCTCCCCATCAAATGATATCATACTTCATTTTCGCAATACGGGGGTGATTGAGTTAACTCTCTATTTATACTTATAACTATTCATTCAGATATACGCGGTATTATTTTAATGCAATTCTAACTTCCTTTTGTTTCTTTGCAAATGTCATGATATCTTGCATGTAAACCAATTAATTGTCATTTACATTTTCTCAGTATAATTATTTACTTCATTTCTAACTCTGTAAACATCTGTATCGTGCAATGTAATTCATGTATGCCACGCTGAATCTATTACCAACATTTAAATGTATAATGCCAAGTGTGTATCTTATCCTACATAGTACATGTATACACATGTCGTCAATTTATCTACAGTACTTTACGAATTTATTGATTTTTTGCACTAAGTATTCTTTTTAGTGTCGACTAAGTATGTTTATTACCGTGTACGTATTTCTTTAACATGTAGGGAGTACCAATTAAGTGTTTTTTGAAACACTTAAAACAACTTTTTGTTGACTGTTTCACTCACCTGGTATACATGTTTATTGTCTTCTCGTTTCAAATGTGTTAACTTTCTACTTCCGTTTTATTTCTCCCATGCTACCTTTTTATTGGCATTACTTTTAAATCATTATGCGTAATGTATTTATTGCTTTTCCTTCCAACTACTCTAATATAATCTTTATTGTTAGTTTGTATCTCAGTAGTGACCTTTTGAATAGATTAATACAACTTTAAATTGCCAGTTTAAATCACCTGATGAACTTTTTCTTGGTGTTTTTTTCTCACTTTATATACATGTACTTACTCTGTGTTCGATCAACTGACTTAGTATATCTATATTTAACTGATGACTCATAGAAAGAGGAAAGAGAAGAATGGTGCAATGGACATGCTGTATCCATTACGACATGTTTAAGGTGCAGTCACCCATGCTTGTGATATGTTCATATTTCCTATGCAAAATATTAAGAAGATTGTATGAGTCATGAGGTAGTCTGTTTATATTAAGCAAAATAATTTTCCTAATTCATCTATTTAGTCAATATATCCGCTGCCCTGGTTGTGAAGGACCTCATATCGGCTGAGACCCCTGTGGAATTTACCATTCAAGATTTGCTCAAAGAAGTTCAATCTGTCAATGTCCGTCAAGGTGCGATGGTGAAGGTCGTGTGCCCGACGGACAGCACAATCGTGAAGCAGGTTACTAAAGGTAGGTTAATAGACAACCATATCATAATAAATATTGAATCAGTACAACAATGTGAAATGATATATAATCCTTTTCATATAAAAAAAATAATCTGGCATAAAACGAAGGACGGCGTACAGTTTCACTAATTCAAAAAAAAGAAAAAAAAAAAGGTTTAATGCTAATGGTGCCACTATACAAATTTTTAGTCATGAGATTTTCAATTTTGTACGGTTTCTTCTCTTTGTAGTGTTTATGTTAATAGAGTTTGAGCGAATGATTAGTTTTTAAATTTTTTTTAGCATATTTTCTGTTGATGCTCCGAATATTAAAAAATCCAAGACAGCAACGTATTAAAAGCCTATGTTTTTCAGTAAATTTTTGTGTTCATATTTACCTTTGATTTTTTTAACATTTTTAAACATGTATCGCATGATGTTTTTACAGAATACTGCCGAAAAGGGGGACAGATATTGCGTTATAGTGAAAATTGTTGTGACACGTGCATTATACATGTATATATTACATAGTCCAGCTTGGTGGTACTCTTTTCTTTAATACATCTCATGTATTATGATGCATACTCATAGTCAGAATATCCAACCTTCTAGGTCGAAACACTAGCAGGCTAACAAAGGATAAAGTGATATCAATGGGGGACACTATCAAGCTATCAGTAGAGGCAAACCGAAGTCGAGATCTACCGTCCCTGTATAGATGTTTAGTAACAACTAAACCAGGTATGGTATACACTATATTTTAATACTTTTACGAACGTATTTCGATCGTATTTTTCAATAACTAAATATTTGATAGCATAAAGATAACGACCAGTTGCGGAATGTTACGACTTTGGTGTTTTATATATCACCTTCCTTGTTTTAACTTTTTTGCAATTCGGTTTATCAATAAAATTAGCATTTTATATTTATTGACACAATACAATTGTATCACATTAATATACGGTTATTGATTCTTATATACTGCATTTAAACATCCACTTTTAACTCGGAGGTAAACATATATTTCGGGGTTGCGGTGGCCTAGTTGTCAGGCGTCAGACCGTCTGCTACTACTTGCCCTCCACCAACGGGGCGCTGGCTCGATGCCTTTGAAACCTGACACGCTCTGAAATTACTATATATGTTAATTTGACGTTTTCATGCTATTTGGAAACTGAATATACTCTCTATTGTTTCAGATACAACGATCGACCCAGTGGTACATTTCGGTCTTATAGCAGCCATCTTACCCCCTCTCGCAAAAACAGATGTGATCCTCAAAAACATAACGCTGACAAGGGACGAGACATTGTCACGTGTTCCCTTGTCTGCGTTAATTCAGTTGCGCAGACCTGGGTTTGATATTGATGTTGGAGGTAAGTAGGCAATTATTTAAACTTAAAAACATAGTCGACAGTCATTGCTACAGAAATGTATAACATTGATACAGGAAACTATAATGCTGTCAAACGACTAATCGTTATTGGCAGGGCAGTCGACATATCCAAACATAATGTGGTCGATTATAACACTACCAAATCTTCAGGAGAATACGATGTTTCCGATGTGATGTAACAAAGAAAGACGCGTCTCCATTTTGAAACAATGCATGTTATCGTTTGTACATTGGGATGATTCTTTATATAATTGCAATTCCATTGAATGTTTGCAAGATACTATTTCCGACAATACATTATAAAACTCTTCCAAACTTGTTTTACCTGAGAGATTTTATTCTCTATTTTTTTCCGACCCAAATAAATTGTTGTTGCTGTAAAGTAACACATTTTGAAAAATAAGTTATCATATCAAAATCAATTAATGGGTGCAGCAAATACGACAGAAAACATGAAAAAACGATACTTTGGTGTATTTGGCATGTATTACGTACAGTGTGGTTTCCTGTCCAAGTTAGCACGAATCGTTTAAGAACCGCAATAGTCAATGTTCGTTCTGAACAAAGCTCAGCATTGCCACTCAGATCTCACTAAAGCAGAATCCAGTGAAATGCGAGAGATGTTTCAGCTGTTTCTTAAACATTCTAGATTAATTCGTCTTTAATCCAATTAGTCTATGATTGAAACCTTGAAACAGGGAATGATCAAAACAAATAAATAAGGTATGAGCTACCTGTAAGATTGCTGACGTAGTCCAACAATATTCACTCTTTACGTGGATGGTATACATACTTACATTCGCAGAGAATATCAAGATTTTTGGAAGCTTTTCCATCTTGCACGACAACTTATTTGCCTAGGATATGGGTTGTTATTATCTCCCTTGCGACGTCATTTTAAATCACAACCTAATCATTTTTTGACATTAAGAGTCTGGGTCAGTTTAAACATTGTTGCATTAACATAAATATTAATTAATTCAAAATTGTCATAACCTGGAATTATTTCCATTTTGATTATATTCTAGCGTTTTCCTCAAAATTATTGAGAAACGCTTTATTGTTTTTTAATTTTAGTAAACTGATGGTGCTTTTCAAAAGAAAGAAAATGTTATTCTTATGCAAATTGACAGGAATTCTTCAACCTCTATTTAAAGTTAAATACCCAGAGCGTAAATGCTTGTATTTTCATTTTAAAAGAGGCTGAAAATGTTTTCGAACCTTGAAAATAGGTGCAAAATTCGACGATTAGAAATATCGTTTTTTGTATTGACACCTAAGACAAAATTATACAATGTAAAAGAAGACCAAACGGCGTTTTCCTTGTTCCAGCGAGTTATCATCAGATTTATAATATTTCGTAGCATACATGTACGTATAACGCTGATTGACATTACCGTGTTAACATTACTGGATATAAAGTTGTCGAATTGACAGAATTACATCTATGGCTGTAAAAAATACATAAACAATCCGTATCACGATAAAAAACGGTTAAAATCAAATACAGTGTGGTGTACATGTATTGAATGAACGACTATTCAGGTAACTATGTAGTCACATCACTTTATGTGGTATTGTTATCAATACTCAATTTGTGCGACATACTTTTCTTACTTCGAGTAGCTTAACCAATTACCATAGCGAATAGTTATATACCAAAAAATATCTTTATTTATCCTTTTTCAAAAGACGTCTAAACAAAGGGAAATCTCCGGACCTCTTGATTATGTAGTACAATTTTTATCTACTATGCATCTGGTTAAAACATTTTTATGATGCTTTCGTATAACAATGCTAGGAATTAATTTCAAATGTATCGATCTCCTTAAGGTCCTGCAACCTTCTATTGCCTTTGTAGGAATACGGAGAAAAAAACAAAATTTAACTGAAAATTGACTTTTTGAGACCTATACTCAACAGAAAATAACGAAACTCTTTACCTTAAAACACCATTTTTAACAACTACGCGTTAGTTGTAACTTAGTCAATATGATTAAACCGGCTTTATGTGTAGAAAGTCTCATACTATTGGATCAAATTTAAGGTCGAGTATATTTTTAATCAGATTTGACATTGTCCTCTAGGTTACGAATGATATTGATTTATCTGGTGTGTATTTAAGAATTTAATTATCAAATAATTTATCGAAAAGGCTTTTGGTATTTATTTATTTTGGTATTTATTTATTTTTTTAACTTTTCTTGTACAACAGCTTTTGCCGTTCGTGCCGAAGAGCAATCCAAAGGCATTAAACAGATTGAGGAATCGCCTGCAGTGGCTTTGTTGTTGAAGAAGTTAAGAGACACTCTTACTGAACACAAAGATGTCACCAAAAACGTTGAACTTTTGATACCCAAAAACCCCGGAAGTTTTAATCTAACCTTTAGAGATGCAGACAAGTCGTTCAGGTCTCTCACTGGAGCAAAGATCAACATTGGAGCCATGCAAAAAACCTGGATATATATCGATAAACCGATCAGTGCTCCTATTGGTTTGACAACACTTACTGTAACGACATTCTCCAAGTTCGTCAGAATTCCAAAAGGCTTGGCAATAGGCATCGAGGTAAACATTTATAATGACACATTGTTTTTTTTTTTTTTTTTTTCTGTCACACGTGTAAGATAAAGTAACGAATATAGTATTCTCTTTTAGTCAAAGTAAATCAATTTAAGGAAATGTTTAAAGTACATCAAGACCAATAACCATAAAAGATTTCTCACTTTGCGAACGTTTACATCCATAGCTCTGACATTATTTATTTTTCACATTTTATATAAGTTGGCAATCATCGATATATATGTGTCTTTTAACAACAACTAATGGAAAAACAAATATTGCTTTCTTTCCACGTCCATTAAATGGAGGTTTCGAGAACCAGAAGAGTTTGATTGTTAAGAAATTTCACAAATAGGTAGCAGATTTAAACGAATACATTTCTTAACGTTTAAAACCAAAGGAATCAAATGCGTTGCAATACTTACACACTTTTGTTTTAAGCCAGAGCGAATTTTTATTCAATCATTGGTTTTATGTAAAACAAACATGTTGTGAAACACTATCAACAGAAAAATCAGTATTTAGATAGAAAAGTAACGCGGAGTTGAAGTTAGAATTTGAAACCTCAAATAGTGTCCGGTCTAGCTGATGTGTGTGTGTCATGTGTTCCTCCTCAGAAAGCTACACAGCTAGAATATCAGAACTGTTGTGTTACTAGATGCAGATACAGTAGTACAATTTTTGATAGGATTATATTTGTCTCATTTATGGTAGTTTTGCCGGAATTGTATTTGCCATCGGATAAAGTATAAAGCATGCCGACGAACGCGATGAATACATGTTACATGTACTTAGTCCCCATCCTGTACCGTGTTTACTATTTGGAATTCGATAAACGGTCAACCAGCTTCATCCAGATGGCATCGCGTGGTCTGAAACAGTCGGGCTCATCACCTATCCTAAATGAGCAAAAACGGTCTTGCACGCGCTCTGCAAGACATGCTCTCTCAAATCTTTCTTGGTTGTAGAAACATCAACATACAGCATTAAAACACGCCGTCGCTTATTTTAACAGTTTCTTTATTATGTTAGAGAGAAGGTTTTCAATTATTTATTCTAAAAACAATTCTCAGAAAGCATGTAAAAAGAAAAAAAAAATCAGAATTCCGCAGCAGGCCTTAACCATATTTGAATTCCCGATCGACAATAAGAGTTCCTCATCACTGAACCACAAACTCAAGTATTCGTAGGTTTCAGGTATTTTGATGGGATCTGGGCATTTTTTTCATTCAAATAAGGTTGTTCAATTCTGTCTAGTACATGTGTTCACTCATCTAAAATGGCAATCCACATAAAGTGAATCTAGTAACATTTCCTTTGCCTGCATTGTGTTGCTCGTCGATGTAGGGGTGGTCAGTGCTATTTTGTGAATAGTTACTTTATATACCTTGGATGATAAAAAAATGATTGTTACACATTGTCGTATTTCACATAATAATATTTAGATTGGCATGTTTTTACAGTGATTCTGCTCTTTTTATTAAGGATGCTTGTACCACTGAATGATGGTTTTTCGTATAGACAGTATCCCCCTTCAAACTTCTGTTTTGATATAACTGTGGCACAGTTTGGCCAACACACCTCCGTTGACTAGGTAGCTCAGTAGATATGAGCGATAGTATAAACATTTGAAATCAAGTGATCGAATCCATGGTTAGACCCACTGATTTTTTTAACTCAAATTACTGTGGAAATTATTTATCTAAGATATAGTCATGCTGGGAAAATACTTAGTTGCAGTCTTTGGCAGCGGTACGAGAGTCCTTTAAAGTAACGTGTCTTGTAATGATTTCATTTAAACATCTTCTTTATGTAGTATTCCTCTTTTTTTATATGCAGGTCACAAAAAACAATTTTCCACCCTTCCTCAAAGAAAGAAGGGCCATGGAACCAAAGCTGCTTTCATCGACAACTAATTCACTCGAGTTTCAATGCGGTAAACACGTACTGGACTTGTTTGATGACAAGAACACGCATGACACTCTCTCGTGTGTAATTTTGTTTGCAACGTCCGCTTCAAAAGGTAGATTAACTTATCAAAGTTTTTTTAAATCAGCTCTTCTGAATGAGCACGTGATAAAGAAAGAAAATGAAATACAACTTTACCAATTGCATTAATGACAGTCTTTCACAATATTTCTTGACCATTAAAATAAATTGGAAACACTATGCATATTACTCAAGAAAATGGTTCTTGATTAAAATGATTCTGATGCGAGAATTGTCACAGCACGGTTTAAATGACTGAAAAATAAAAGGCTTTTTGTATTTCTCACCTCCCCGTTCGTATATGAGAAATCCTGTCCAGAACAGGAAAGGAGAGTTGTTTACACCTTAAATTTCATTTCTGTCCGACATTGCATTATGGCACAGCAATGATGGAACGCTTTAAAAAGGAGTAACATATCAATGCTCTAAGGCAGAAAATGTACCAACTTGATGAAATTGGATATTGAAATATTCCTACAACCGTAAAAGTCTGAAAGACGGTATCGACTTCTTTGTGGAAACTTTTTTGTCTAGATCGGATGCAGTAAAACATAAGTCATTGCCATTTTAAGAGTAGTTCTACATCACTTTAAACTTAACAAATACTTATCGCTGTATTGAAGGAACTTGGAAGTATCAAGAAAACAGCGATGAATGGAAAAACGTTCCTGTAAGACGCTTGGCCAATACTAACGACACCATTTCGCTGGAAGCTGTAGTAATAAGTGAACATGGCAAATTTAAGTTCCTACTAGACAGCAGGTAAATCGTTACATCTTTGTTGCTTTTGATTGATGTTGCTTCTTTATCGCCTGGTATTTGTATATAATTGCAAACACTGCAATCATTCATTGAAAAAAACGCATGGTAACTCTTTTATCAAAACATTGTTTTAATAAAGGATTTCCAAGGATAAAATGTGCAAAAGGTTTTGTATTTAAAAAGGCATTTAAAGGATCCCAGTCCCACTGAACTGTGTTTTTCCTTGTTTGCAACACCCTCCCGTTATCTTCCGTTTACATATAACAGTATAACTATTATGTCAGGACACTTTCATCAGTCAGGTAGTTCAATTAGTTTAATCGATAATTTAGCAATCTGAAGTTCAGGGTTCTCACCATGGTCTAGCCCCACTCAGAACACTGTTGTTGATTATATTTTGTTTATTTCATGCTTTTATCATAAACATCGTTGCGTTTTTGTTTCATAAATTATTTATCAAAGTTATCGTCATGTAAGAAATACAAAAAAAATCCAATTCTTGGTTACATTGTTTAACAGTGGTACAGGGGCTCCTTTAAACATAGCAATAGATGTTGAATCCTTACATCATTGTCAGCAATCTAATGAATTAATATTTCTTTTCAGCACTCAAGAAATGGATTTCAAAGTCGCTGTACGATACACGTCCATATTTTTCTTGGCTACAGACGGAACTAATCTGCAGAATCCGGAACAGTTTCCATACAAATTGAATCTGACTCTCAAGAAGTGTGAAAATGACCCCAAAGTATGAGTACAGATGTGTTGTAGTTTGACGAATATATTTCCTAGCATATAAGTGTTGAAAATCGACCATTACATTCATTAAGATATACAGTGTAGTATATTATGTATGTTTATATATTGTGAAAAGATCATCTTGAAAACGTTCAATTTCAGTGATTATTAATTGATTTATTTTAGATCATCCATTCAAGGGTTAGTTTGTTTCTATTTGCTTTTCCCTAAGTGACTTAATTTGTAATTAGGTAGTTAAGCAACATAAAACAGATTTTGTTCGGAATTTTAAACCCTGGCTACAGCAAATATGATGTGACCACTCAAAGGATTATTTTAAATAATGTTTCATTGAAGATGGAGGAAAAACAACCAACCAGTCACATTATACTGACAACTGGCTGATCAATGTTAACCGATACTAAAATAAAGATAAACGCCAAGCAAGTGGAAGGAATTACCAAATTAAAAATATTTGTGTTAGTCAGTGATTTGGCTTGCATAAGAAAACAGTTAGAAAAAATAAAGAGAACGGCAATTTCCCAAATGTTGCAATTGGAACAGCATATTGTTTTAACTACTTGTATGTCAACCATTAGTACAAACGTAAAAGAGTCCCGAATACAATTATATTATTTATTTATTTTTAAATCCATATGCAAATTGATTGTTATTTCGTGTATTTACATTTTTGTAAAAAGAAACAAAAAGCCACTTAAAATATTTCCGTTTTCAAGTTTTGAACATTATTGATGGTACGAATTTGTTTGATAATAATTCTGAGGTACATTACAGTATCCTTGTCTCCATGGTCCAAATACTGCAGTCTCGCGGAGATTGGCTCATTTGTATGTATACCCGCAATGTTCAAGGAATTGTGACAACGAAATTGTCTGTGGAGATCAAGTTTCAACAGAAAAGTGTCCCAAATGTGGAAAAGGTATGTAATATTTACATTGATTATTGTAAAAAAAAGTGATGCTTGTGTTAATTTTCGCGTTGTGACAACTGTTAGCGGTGTAAACATTTTTTGCGTTGTGACAACTGATAGCGGTGTAGACATTTTTCGCGTTGTGACAACTGATAGCGGTGTAGACATTTTTTGCGTTGAAATATCATCATCTATGTTTTTCCTCATACATGTACTACATGTACCTACAAAAATATGATAAAAACAATTACCATCTTTATACTAATACCATGATAAAGTCATGATCACGGACGGTCAATGTGAGATTATTATAGAAGAATTTGAGAACGAATTGAGAGGACAACTCGAGAATGGATTTTCCCATTTCTTAATGTATTATAGCGCCAATTGATGACAGGAACCGGAAAAATTATCCACAAACAAGTATTTCGAGTACGAAAATTGTTCGATATCAAGAAAGTATCTTAAAATGATGAAACAATATTATGAGGATAAAAGCGCCATTTAAGGCGTAAATGTGCGAATGTAGAATCTAATAAATGTGCGCATGTAGAACCTAATAACCACAATTCTTTATTTTTCTATATCTTTCTACATGCTTTAAAGTTCAATTTCAATTTCGATTTCAACATATTTTATTGACATAAAAATTCAACAATATTGGACATCAGGAATTGCCTATATATGTCATCTCCTTACAGCTACATCCAGTGGGGAACGCATTGTTAACATATATAAAAGACATATTCATTATAAATACGCAAAGGGGAAGTAACCTTTTTCCGAAGCTTACTGTATAATAGTGATGAGTTAAGATAGTTGCCCTTTTAATTAAGACAATTAATACACATATTTGCAAAATCTGTTTTTTACTAAGCTATATATAGCAACACTTATGGAAATATTCAAAATATATATATTTGGTAGATTTGGCTCTATCTCTCCAAAGGATACAGGCAACTTATGAAGCTTAAAAGTCAATTACAGCAAACAGATATTTAGTTTACTGGTAGGGTCGCACTAACTCTTGAATAGATAATGACTAGTTGTACATTTTCAAAAGTAGGAGTTAACGCAAGTAGCTAGTATGGTAAAACCCAATCTGTGTTGCCCAGAAAAAGTACATAGATATGTATACTATGTTATTATGACCTTTATCATTTTAATGAAAAAACATATTATTAAAAAATTCAAATCTTAGAAGATATATATCATTCACGTGTATTTCTGCTATATCATAGGAACACTACTAAGCACGAAGTAAGCTAGTAGTTTATATACGATAAACAGTTCGTCATAACCCTTCAGAACATGAAACAAAGTGTGATTATCTATAGTCATCAAGGGTTGTCAGTGCGAAATTACACGTGAGGGGTTTTAAAAGAACATGAGAACGACTCGAGAATAGATTTTCTAATTTAGGTATGCGTTTTACTTTAAATGAGAATGTTCGCGCTATCTAATGAGAAGAATGCTAAACACTAAACTAAAAAGTGATATCTAAACAACAGAGGCGCATATAATAATATGAATATTACCACAAGAAACACACGACCATTCTCTAACAGGATATTAAGTTTTATTGAAATGAGATATCAAATTTAGAGTGGCGAATATATCTTGAAAATAAAGTAAATTAGCATAGAATCCTGTGGGAAACTGACGTTACGTAAACGACTTTTGACGTTTGGCTGTATACATACATACAATGTACACTTTTTCTATTTCGTGAAAGTTAAATGATGTTATTTAAGCAAAGAATGTTTTAGCAAATGTTGTCATGGTCCTTTAACACGCGTTGCTATTTATGACAAACTTATTAAAGCCCAGCAGGGATTTATGTAAGTTAGTCAGCAATAGAAATGTGTGTTATAGGACCGTAACAATATTAGCTAAACTATTCAGCATTGATACTTACATTTTTATTGTATATATCTTTATTTTGAACAGTTCTTTGAACAGCTGATTAGGTCTTGACAACAATGAAATTGCAATAGAAATTGATGCCGTTACATCAGCAATGTTGCTATAGTCTAACAACAGCATTTGCCTCCTCAATGCATTGCAATGGAAGGATGCTGGGCAATGTAAATAAAATATCGTATATGTTACTAACTTATATGTAATTGTTATTGTAGGTACTCAACTGAACGAATGCACCGATACATGTTATGATCCGCGAGATCAAAACAAAAAGATGGAGGGAAGGGATTGCCGTGAAAAATGCGATTATGGGGATTATCAACTTTATACAATACCTGGCGGAAACCCAATGTGTCTACCGTACGTAATATCTTTATTACTTCTATACATGTAACAAATATATGAAAATTAATCGATTTGCCTTTGACAATATAGACGATTAGAGATTACAAGGCTTGTGTAATGTAGGTATCTGCTTAACAATCCATTGTGAAGGTACGTGTGAAAATAAACTGTATATGTTTTACATTATTAAGAAACACGTATTTGTTACTTACAATAAACACTCTTGTTGGCCTGGATGTAAGTGCGCGGGAGTCTTATGTGGGAGGAAACAGGAGTATCCGGGGAAAACCCACGTGGTCGGGCAGTTGACCCAATACCGTTTCACATCCGATCGGGGATCGAACCCCAGCCGCTTTTGTAAACGATGAGTGCGTTATCCATTGCGCCACATGAACACCCATTGTCATGGCAGCGAAACGGTTGAATGCACAGTTAACTCGAAACAGTAGTAAAACTAACAAACCAATTCAATGGTTGGGCGCTACTTCCGGTCAGTCTGTTGTCAGGCATGATTGTTCTTTTTGTCCTTCTGAAACCAGTTCCTTCCATCAATCAGAAATGTACATGTATATATGTTATCAGTAGTTAGCTATCACCATTTTAAACCGTGATATGATAAATATGTTAAGGAAAGCAGTGAGATGATTATAAAAAAATCAAATGTTATTGAAAGTATAAGCAACAAGCAAACCAAACAGATTAATAAACGACAGACATCATTTCTTCCATATCATTGTCAGCATTGCAATTTCAAAACATCTATCAGTGTTATGTCTTTTAAGACAGAAAATATCAGCAAAACTAGCTGGCAAACTGCTGCCTGTAATCTTCACAGTTTCAACAAAATAATGTTATTAAACATGATCGGTTTCTGATGAAACTGGGCCATTATTCTTTAAAATGGATTAGTTTATTTTAAATTGGAGCTTAATCCATATACATTTAAGTAGTATAGAACTACTTTACTTAATATTTGGTGATGATTGGATATTCTCCATAGAAAGGGAGGCAACTGATATAAAACTATCATATTGATTTACGGAACAATTTATAGAAAAGTATGTAAAGCTTATCATTTATCAAAACTTTTGAAAGGAGATAAAGTCAAGCTTTCTACTTTTTAGATATTGTTGATCGCTGCAAAAGGCATGTAATAATTTTGTCAGGTAATTTTAATTTGACATTATCTAATAATTTTACTAAAGTTAAAAGATGGGAGGTAACCCTGGTATAAGCCTTATAATGTACACATGTTAGGTGAGGCATTATTAGCTCACCTGCCCGAAGGGCAAGTGAGCTTATGCCATGGTGCGGCCTAGGATGATGATATTTGGCCAGCAGCATGCTGAAATCAAGGGCTACCAAGTTTGTTCAAATGTATGACCTTCTCCCATTTTCAATGTCACAGGGGTCAAATATGTTTAAAACCTTTAAAACAACTTCTTCTCAATAACCAAACAGCCTCGGATGATGATATTTGACCAGAAGCATGCTGGGATGAAGAGCTAACAAGTTTGTTAAAACAAATTACCTTCACCCATTTTCAAGGTTACATGGGTCAAATATGTTAAAATCTTTGAAAAACTTCTTCTAAATAACCAAGAGGCCTAGGGTGATGATATTTGGTTAGTAATATGCTGGGATGAAGGGCTACCAAGTTTGTTCAAACGAATGACCATCATCTATTTTCAAGGTAACAGGGTTCAAATATGTTAAAAACCTTTAAACAACTTCTTCTCAATAACCAAGAGTCTTGGATGATGATATTTGGCCAGTAACATGCTAGGATGAAGGGCTACCAAGTTTGTTCAAATGAATGACCTTCATCTATTTTCAAGGTCACATGGGTCAAATATGTTAAATACCTTTAAACAACCTCTTTTGAATTACCAAGAGGCCAAGGGTTATGATATTTTGCCAGTTAGATGCTGGGATTAAGGGCTACCAAGTTTGTTCAAACAAATTACCTTCACCCATTTTCAAGGTCACAGGGGTTAAATATGTTTAAAACCTTTAAACAACTTCTTCTGAATACCCAAGATGGAAAGGATAAGGATATTTCGCCAGTAACACGCTGGGATGAAGAGCTACCAAGTTTGTTCAAACGAATGACCTCCATCTATTTTCAAGGTCACAGGGTTTAAATATGTTAAAAACCTTTCAACAACTTCTTCTCAATAACCAAAATGCCTGTGATGATGACATTTGGCCAGTTACATGCTGGGATGAAGTGCTACCAAGTTTGTTCAAACAAATGACCTTCATCTATTTTCAAGATCACAGGGTTCAAATATGTTTAAAACTTTTAAACAACTTTTTCTCAATAACCAAAGCGCCTAAGATGATGATATTTGGCCAGTAGCATGCTAGGATTAAGGACTACCAAGTTTGTTCAAACGAATAACCTTGACATATATTAAAGGTCACAGGGGTCAAATATGTTTAAAACCTTTAAACGACTTCTCAATAAGCAAAAGGCTAAGGGTGATGATATTTGGCCATTAACATGCTGGTATCAAGGACTACCAGTTTTGTTTTCAAATGAATGACCTTAGCCCATATTCAAGGTCACAGTGGTCAATATATGTTTAAATCTTTAAATGGCTTGTTCTGTATAACCAAAAGGTCCAGTGTAATGATATTTTGCCAGAAGCATGCTTGGTTGGACGACTATAAACTCTGTTCAACTTTATGTCCTTGTTCGACATTCAAGGTCAAAGGCGTCATATGTTCAAATCTTTTAATAGGTTCTTATGAGTCAAACACTAAATATTTTGCCTGTAGCTGTATTTTAGTCCACTTTTAAGATTGTTTGTGAGAATAATACCAGGTGAGCGATTCAGGCCCATGGGCCTCTTGCATTTATCATACATTAGTAATTTCAAAATGTTGAAATAATTCAATGATTTATAGGATTTCTGTATTAAATGAAATTAAGCTGAATATACTGTAATACATATTCCTATGTGTTTGTTTGTTTTCCAATCAGTAATAATTCAATTGCTATGAACAATGAAGAGTGCAATCAATGTATACAAACTCTGTAACTTTACTGCTAGAATATGACAAAAGCAAAAAAGAACAAGTTTACACAAATATCAAGGAGTATATCCCTATTTGACATTCTCAGACAACTGGCAGGAGTTAAGACATCTCCCGTAGTTTTGTTGCCTGTATTATGCACATGGTGCTAGTTTCCTATATGCAATAGGCTTGTCCTGTTGTTGTTTTTTAATTTGGCAAATTGTAAAACCCGCACTGTTTATATTACTTCTGTGCTTACATATTATTTTGAGTGATTCACATTTCAAATCCATCCGTGTATTCGAAGTTCGAAGTAATTGATTTATTACTTATATCTAAAAAAAAACAGTCCAGGAAAGACGATTGTTGTCTCCTGTGATTTTTCGCATTACCTTGCCGCGAATAAATACCTTGACGCCCTGTCTTGAAAAAAAGTATGTATGTATAAGGTCGATCCCCAAACATGAACATTAAATTTTCTGAAAAGAAGTGATAAATCACTTTCATTTTTCGTATTTATAAGAACATTTTGCTTTGTTTACAGAACTGGACTTACTGATGCTGAGATCCAACAGCACATATGTGTCAATATTAACAAAGGCGAGCTCAACAAGTGAGGCGTGCACGACGATTTGAATAATTTGTGTCTCAATTTACAGCATGTTCTATTTTATTTATTATTCAAACATCTGACATTGTGAAAGCTTCCTCAAACGTCCAAAACATTATTCAGTGATTCCAATCGTTTGTTATTGTTTTTCTTCTTTTTAACTTTAACATATTAGATGTTATGATATTCATACCATATAACTATATAAAATGTGTGTATTAAGGTTAAATTGTTTTGAATGGATTGATTACTGATATTAAACACTTGTTTTAAACATTCAAATTAAGGAATAGGTGAATGAAACAACAATTCACTTGCATGCTAGATTATCAACAAATTGGTTATTTCTAATCATAATATCTTGACATTTCTTTAGTAAATTTTATTTTTGTGAATGTGCAGCTATGTTTTAAAGCCAAAACTGTTTACCTCTTGCAAAGATGTCAACGATGCTATGGCGGTAACACAACCAAAACGAAAACAGAAGGCTTAGACAGGTGTGGGACATGTGACGGGGATGGCTCATGTGTGGACAGTTGTGATGGGATCCCAAATGGACCCAAGAAGATCGACACTTGTGGTCGATGTCTGGATCAAAAATCAACGGATTTCAACTCTAAAACTGGTACATGACATAAATCACTTTTTTTCAAAGTGTTAGCCCAACATTCTTTATCATGATTGTTAAGTTGTACATTCAAAAAGACTTTAAACGGACGAATGAAATGGACTATCAGCTTGATTAATAAAATAGGTATCAGTGTGATACATTAGCTGAACGGATTTGCGGTGTTTCACGACGGGTTTTTTTCATGAACATTTTCAAGAAATTTCACAGTTGAGTTGTTAGATCCTTGATATGATGTTTATTTGTAACCTAGGTTCAACTTTAAAACTCGGTACAATTACACCTGACAAAATTGTTGCGGTTGGGAAAATCACATTCGAGATTACTGGTTGCAATTTTCACTTACTGCAAGGAGCACCGACCTGCTCATTGAAAAAAGGAGATATTGAGGTGAGTTTGATTTGTTTGTAATACATGATACATGCTTGTAATTTGATCATTTACATTAGGCAAGACATGCAATTTTAACTATCTTTTTGTAAGATGATTTAAGATATTTTGTAAAACCTTAACTTCACTCACGATCTGGTTTAGTTTTTTTCTCAGGATTGAAAACATATTTCAAGTATGAATATGATATGAAGGTAAGGACCATTTAGTTTGTGATAAATGGCTGAGTCCAAAAGCTTAGATTAAAAGTGACTGTTGCTAATTATTTGATTATATTTTACATGTCTTGAAAGTATGTCAAGGGTTTAGCTCATGATTCATATTTCGTATCTACTTTGACTTCTTGCAGTAGAGAATTTGTTATTTTTTAAAGATACAGTGATTTTGATTTCAATTGCACTGTTCTCTGTAGTCCATTTCGTTCTTTATCGTATTTTTTACATTGATTTGTTGATTCATTGATGTTTCATTAATTTCATTCATCAGTTTATCCACTCACTTATTCAAGAAATCTCCCAAATATATCTCAAACTTTCTATATTAGGAAAAAGATCATGCTTACTGCAACCATGTACAATGACCTAAAACATATTCTGTGGTCTGGTGCAACATGCCTGTTATTAATTGTTTTTAACAGAATATCTGGTTATTTTTTTTTTTAAAGATACAACTAGAAACCGAATTCGACTCACCAAAGTTATTTGCTAAACAAGATATGACAGGTGTTGACACAGGCGTGTACTCGCTGCATTGTGTGCGTAAGGCAAGCAAAGTACCTACGTTAGAAGGAATCGACGTCACGGTGTTTGCTACGCCTTCCATATCGAGTATTAACCCTTCTTCGACCAACATACAAAATGAGGTTAACGTAAGAATCAAATTCTGTTTTTTACTGATTATTACTTGTTATGCTTGAAATATCTATGTTTTAGGTTAACTCAATTGGGTGATCGACCTCGAGTTTAAATACCATACCATTATTTACTAATCCTTTTTTGTCGTTAAACTTAGGTTATATTATGCATGCTGACACATGTACACAAAAATGTTTATTCGACCTGTCAATGCTATATACGTAATTCTTTCTGAAATGTATATTTTGAAACGAAAATACGTCAGCAAATGAAAGGATTGCTCTTCTCATACACCTCTGTAAAACGTGCTTATGTAAGTAAAACACATGTTATTCATGTACATTTTCATGTAACTTATGTTATATAATAGAATGTGTTACTTCCTATTAAGGTAAATCTGTGTGGATCCGACTTGAATTCTGACACAGGAAAGCTCAAATGCGCAATGACATGCCCGTTCCCCTTGGGTTCAAAAATGGCACAGAGAAGCTGTTTAGTTAATCGTGGCGATCGCTATATCATCATGGACGCCAGTATTACCATGAACGCTTGTGTGCGATGTCACTCCGCTGACGTCTTTAAAAGAATTTATGAACCAGGACAACTTCAATTGGCGGTTTTGTTGGAAAAGCAGATGTTGTCCTCATTTCAAGAGTAAGTAATATATTGATATTCCAGGGATACTATCATTTATTTTCTTAACAAAATTACAGCTCTGTATTCATCAACAAACGTAAATATCTTCGAATTAGACAAAATTTGGACAAACAAAATGCATTAGCAATAAACAAATATCATTAACTATAACCATTTTAATGTTCTCATCAATAAAACTAGTCTCGTAATCTCACTTAATTTTTATCGTGTTTTCATTAAAGTTTGATTGCAATAGGCGACTAACATGTCAGCTCTACAGAATCCTTTTTTTCTGTGTGTTCTGCTATGGAGACATTAAGAAAACTCAAACTGAAACCCAGTCTCAATTGCAACACCTAGGTCCTCTATCTTTTGCTTTCTTCCTTAGTACTTTTTTCTTCTCCGCATGTCTCCCTGGGCAACTAGTGTCATTTGTACTAAGTAATGCGTTTGCGATGATTAAACCCTGAAAAAAATACAGGAGAATGATACAAAACTCATAAGACATTGTAAACTTACTATAAAGCTACGGCTTTGATTAGTAATCCTCGTGTTTACTTTGTTAAGACACATCCACATCTGATCTTTACTTTTCAGCCTCTCGCCAGCGACGATAACAGTCACTGCTGGTGCCCCAAATCTACAACAGGTCACCTTTGATGCCTTCTGCAAGTTAATACTCACATTTGATAGACCTGTCGTCGGGCCAAGGAAGGCATCTCTACTATTCGTACCTGCGATCGGTGAGTGGTGTACGCTAGATATATGATGAGTGTCTTTGTCATGTGTATATCTGATTTAGTAACAACAACAGATGTATTTGTATTCGTATGGTGTGGAAATCAAAATGTTCTACAAGGAGGTATTTCCATTTTGCAATATTTAAAAACTGTATAAGCACAATGTTTGCTGTTCCATGGTGAATGTTTTCAATAGAGAACTGTCGTACTAAAAGAATAGTCAATTGTGCTTTAATAAAACGTGCCGTCCACCAACAAAATACATATGTACCTGTTATTAGACTCGACTGTACCTTTAAAGTCCGATCCCGTAAACCTGTTTGTATGTACGTTTGCAGATTCTAAGATTTACTACAAATCAAAACAGCTTATAGTCAAATTGGAAGACGCCCCAATGTTTCAGGAAGGTGAAAATATAACTGTGCGTCCGGGTTTAATAAAGCAACGGAGCATGCATTCAGAACACGCAAATGCTAATGCAGAATTTTCCTTCATAGTTCCACCTCCAGAGGTAAGTACACAATAGACATTACAAAGGAACAGCAATTATAACATGTTGTAAGTCTTTGATATACTAGCCTTCATTTTGAGGTACTTATATGATGCCAGTAGAAATACATTGTGAAGTCCTTTGGGCAGGAGGATATACATTGATATAGCAAGAACACAAGAATGGCCGGTGAACCTTTCTAGTTTCTTGAGCTTTTTCAGAAACAACTAATACTTATCAGTTACCTTAAGTTAAATAACGTTATCAGTAGTTAAGCAGTTGACAATTATAGTGACGTAATCAATAAAGAGTGAAAGTGACGGGCAAAGGAGGAAACTGCAAAACATTTTGTCTTCAAGCTGTGCAAGTATGTTGTACATCAGAAATAGTCGTGGAATATGTGTACATAAGTTTAATTGCTAGCAATCGTCTTCCTTCCTTTGACGTCTGTGTGTATTCATTCTTAGTCTTAGTTTACAACAGGTTTGTTTGGCACAAATTCTCCTCTGTTTACATATTAAAGAGTCAACGATATTTGTAATTTTCTTTTATTACAGGGTATACTTCGTTAAATATCTATTTTTAAGTCGTTTGCAAAATAGTTATCTGATTTATCACCGGGCCAAGCATCTGCAGTTACAAGCAAAATCGGTCACACTAATGGGAAAACCTCATCCTCCTATCACTAGATCAATTAACTTCATATTTTATAATAGTGCTCTTTTCAGTATGTACTCCTCTGAGGAGCCAAACAATTATTGTATTAAACTTATGTGGAATTGGAGAAAAAGGAGAATATGAGAAAATAAAAAATACATAGAAAGTGTACGTCCGTGTGCTTTTTTTGTTTGTTATAATGGTCAAATATGCCAGTTCAACATAAAGTGCGACTTTTGGTGAAATTTATCGTTTTGGCCATATGAAAACCAAAAGTATGCAATACTTTGAACGTGTACCATCAGAAATTAATGAATGTTTGCAAAACTTATAAAACACATATTTCCTTCTAAATTCTAAAAGTGAAATTTCTTTAACCGATATTTTTTATCTTAGAAATGCAATTTATGTAACCCTACCCCCAATTTTTGATTGGGAGTGGTGGTCCGTGAGCTTATGTTTTTGATACTGTAAAAGCATTCATTTATATAGTATATTATTTTTTGTTTAAGTGTTCACCTTTTGTGGGATAAAACACCCATAGCGCTTCAGTAAATAAATCAGTAGCAAAATATCAATATTGTACAGTTTTCCACTTTGTTGTATGATATTTTCATAATATTGAACATTTAAAACTTGAACATCAAAAACTAACTTAATACGGTTAAAATGGTGATACAATGACACTTTTAGTGATAGATATAACGTCAAGAATAGTGGAGGTTACACTTGCGTACAGTGCAAGAAATGCACATTTTTGAGATATTCCAAATGGCCGCCGAATTTGTCATTTTGATAAAAACATGTACACAAAAAATTCTGCAAACATTGGGCATCTAGTGTTTTGATACATTTTTCAAATGCATGCTTGCTTTTTAAATTCTTCGTAATTTGATATATTTGATAAAAACAAACCCGCTATACTAGATCAAAACGAGATTTGAACGTGACTGTAACCACAGAATAGAACATCCTTAAGGCAGTCAATAGTTTATACAGTTTCTATAATATAAGGTTTTACGAGAACACACTGTCTATCTTTGTGCTGTTTTTCATGCTTTTGGGCCAAGTATTTATCGATTTAGAGAACACAATGAACAGTGAAATTTGGGTATCATTTCTATAATGATTTTTCAAAAATCTGCCACTCTGCATAAATATATATATTGGCTACTCTAAATATCTTTTTACAGGAACCTCCAGAAGTGAAAATACTTTCAAGATCTCTCGGCAACTTAACAGAATGTCAGGAAACGGTGTTGTCAATTAAAATAAAGGGCGTTGGATCGTGCGTCAAATTGGCATACAGTTGGAGCGTTAGTATGGTCGGTAGGTAATTATTTTATTGTTGGAAGGTGCGTACTTTTCATGGCGTAGGTACATTGTAGTTTCTTCATTGTCAGTAGGTACTCATTTGATTGTATGTTGGTACTTAAATTATTGTCAGTAGGCACTTAATTTATTGTCGTTAGGTACTAATTCAATTGTAGGTAGTTAAATATTCTATCGCTGTAATGTAGTTATTTAATGGTCGATAGGTACTGATTTTATTGTCGCTATGTACTTATTTCATTAAATTTGTGGGGAAGTACTTATTTTATTGTCTTTAGGTAATATTTTATTGTCTTAAGTTACTTATTTTATTATCGTTAGATTCTTATTTCATTATCGTTAGATACTTTTTTATTGTAGGTAGAGACTTATTTAATTGTCAATATATACATATTTCATTGTCGTTAGGAACTTTATTCATTGTCGGTCGGTGCTTATGTTATTGTAGGTAGGTACTTATTTTATTAACGATGGGTACTTATTCATTTATTGTCGGTAGATACTTATTTTATTGTCTGTAGATACTTATTTTATTGTCGGTTGGTACTTATTTTATTGTCGGAAGGTACATATCTTATTGTCGGTTGGTGCTTATTTTATTGTCGATGGATACTTATTTTAGGAAATGATAAACCTATTGGAAACCAACTAGTGGGTAACAGCCTTGACGTATGTTTTTTGGTCCATCTGCTAATTGTGACGTCATGTTACACTGCTTCATCAGGACACCATCATCCATTTCTTCGTCAAACATATATATGGAAACGGGAATTATGCATTCCAAAGATAAACATGTGTTTTTTTAGACATAATATATGACCGTTGTGGGAGAAGAAGGTCACCTTACTCGTAAGTCGTGATGGCTTATTGTCAGGTCTATCTAACACCCGTTGGGGAATCTCTATGTTACCATTGCTGAAAACATACAAAAAAGCAAATAAAAAGCCCCGAACAAACCAAAGCATGACAACGAGAATTAGGAAATAGGTAACAAGCTTTAAGAGATCGTATTAATGTTTTCGTTCCGTTTTATTTTATCTAGCAGCTTATAACACACGAGCTAACGATTAGTCAAGAAATTGTATTTTTAGGACTTGTTAAAGCAGATAACCTCATGCAGATAATTAGAAAAAGAACATTATATTCGAGGCAGTTTACTCCGACTTTGAAGTACAGTATCATATCGGCAGATATCGATGATTTAGGGCAATAATAATCCTATGCATTATTTCTAATTATCGTATGATATATAAATATTAATTAGCCAGTTTCACTGTTATTGAAGAAAAGAATATCTTGCTTCGTATTTTCATAATAATGAATAATGGGGGAATACGATAAATTAAAAGCTAAAATATTGTGCTCAATTAAAATGGACACATATGTAATGCATCTTTTGTTAAGTCAAAAAATTTCAATCGCAAAATTTGTTAACATAAATATATTAATATCTATATACAGTTCAAATACATTTTTATGATATGGAACAAGCAAATACATTATATCTAGCATTTGAAATGTTTTATATAAATGACGTTTATTCTGTTGAGGTGGAGGTACTGATCAAGAATTTTCCCGAAAACTTGGCAGAACAACAACTAAACGCTTAAGGATAGGCAAAGGAGATGTAAGTATCATATATTTAAAAGAGAAACGTATCTTTCTTAAAGTTTATCATAAAAAGAAATGACAAATGTCGGAGCAGAATCGATGAGAAAATATTGAATAGGGAATCTAAGAATCTAAAGACTCCCGTACCTAAAAACTAAACTTAAAAACTCAAAAACATATAAAAAATCATTTATGAAAAAAAATATACAATACGGGATAAAATCAACAAAATATTATCAACAATAGTTTTATGAATGTCACAAATTTAGCTTGGGCTAGGCTGGATTCGCACGGCAGAGCTACCTGGTCAACGGAACTGTCCAAATTTGCTACAGTTTTTCCAAAAACGAAATTAAGGGGAGAGAAATACTGAAGATATGAAAAACAACACAGTGCGGTGGGACAGAGAGATCCCTAAGAAAAAGAAATAATATGGTAAACTGTGATGGACTAATGATCAATTAAACATTTTGGTATTATTTAAACAGGTAGTACTCGGGAACATGTATGAGATCACTGGAAAAGTGGATACACCTGCATTAGAAGCTAAGTATATCATTGAAAGAGTAGCTGAGGAGAAGACAATTCTTGTGTGGCTTATTTCCCGACGGAATCACAAGCCGACAAAGAGTACTGTGTTTAAAGCTCGAGTGTCAATGATTACATGTGATGCAACTCAATCAATTATGGTAAGATTTAACAGAGAGAGAGAGAGAGAGAGAGAGAGAGAGAGAGAGAGAGAGAGAGAGAGAGAGAGAGAGAGAGTGCGTGTCAGTAGCTTTCCCGCATTTATATGTATTGTATGTATAAGCTTCTTATGGCTAATATCAGTTTTCAGGCTAAACTCACACTTCACAAATTTTGAAATCAAATATATAAAGACTTCCTTTCAACATATAAATATAGCCTGCGTTGATAATATCTACAAATTAATTTCAATGTTAACTACACAATTTCTAAATGAACACACTAGTTTAGTTATTAGCCTTTCTAACATTATTTTGTTTTTTAGGAAGAAGAGGAGTCTTTTAAGTTTAGATTTAATCTCAAGAATGATAGAAACAGAACAATCCTTTCCAGCAAAGATCTCCACTCAGATGAGTTCGTCATACCTAAGGGAACTCTGACGGGCGGACAAGTATATATCATAAATGTAACAGGTAACATAATGTATTTGATATTAAGGTTTACATTTATATAGAAATATTGCAGACAAATTATTATAACATGTATTCGGCTTCCATAACATACCTCTTTATCTCGGTTACGTATTACTTGTCTCAAAATAACCATGTAAGTGTATGGTATGTCATTTTATTATCACTGATAAAAATAAGACTTCGTAGCAGTCGGTTTAAATTCTCTTACTCGGAAACTTTAAGTCAGCGCAATCATTTAATACATTAGTATTAAACATACTTATATATTTGTATTCCAGTAAATCATGTTTGAATCGTATGTAAACTGTATTATTTTGGAGTACATGTATTGGCAAGAAATGGTGTTTTGTGTAAATCGTTATCTTTATGTGGCTTTAAAATTATAAAATATACATAAATTTTTAACACACAATTTTCTCTACCAGAGTAAGATTTCAACAAAAAATAATGATATAAAAAGTATCTTACATTAGAGACCGGATCAAAATTACTAGATTCAGTGAATTGTTGTCCTAGTCAACGTACGCTGTGAAATTTTGTTGTAAATTATCTTTAAGAAACGAATAATCAACGTTAAGAAAAGAAACAGCTGCTTTGCCCTAAGTATATTTTCTTTTTGATAAAGAAACGCTTAAACCGTTTACCATTTATCATTTAAGTTTACTACGGAGACAACAAAGCAACCGCTCAAAAACTTTTACGATTACCAGTCAGTGAATTGGAGATGTACATCGATTATGACGCCCAAGTGAATGTGAACAAAAAAGTTGAATTCAACGCGAAACTCATCGACCCCAACAACAGCCCCCAACTACCGCTATTTACGTGGACATGCAAACAGGTATAATACATCTCAACAAAATAAATGTAAATGAGGGATAGGTCGACATGGTATACAATATGTAACAGCATCCAATTTAAACATGCTTACTTTGTTTATGAAGTACAATAGAAAGTATTCTTTCGGAAATATTCGAAACAAAACTAAAATAAAAGAAACTCATGATACGTTTACAAATATTAAAAAGGGAGTTCATAGTAAAATGATAAGAGAAGCATGTCGTTGAAATGATGTATTTTCAGAACGATAGTTCTAGCCATAGTGTATCCTGTCAAATCTGATAATTAGACAGATTTACTTAATGAAAGAACTAGTGAAAAAATGAAAAGTATTATTAAAGAAAACTGCTCATGTTGACGCCCTACAAATTGCAACGATATATTGGTCTATAAACTAATGTATTTTAACAATATTAAAAGGGAACTCATTAAGATTCACTTTTACTATAAATATACTGTGTACGGGAAAACTTTACTGTATGCCCCCGGTATACAGTAATATACTACATTGATACTACCATTCACGTTATTCACGACGTTTTAATATATATCCAGATCGTTAAATTTCAAAACCAATCATACAAACAATTACAAGAACTGGATGAATAACTGGTTATCAGTTTGGTTATCTTTACGTTACTAAGTATCAGTATATCTAGTATGTGTCAGAACAGATTAAGGTTGGGGTTGCCTACAAAAGTATCACATAACATGTGTTTTTACTGTAGGAAATCCGAAAGGGTATTTTGCAACTGTGTCCTAAATCACTCGCAGATATCTTCATCGCCACCGCAACTGGCGTATTATCAATTCCACCAGGAACGATGATGTCAGATTCTTGGTAAGTATATTTTTGGAAAGGAGTAAAAAATGTGTGACCATAGAAATACAATGTACACGCCAAATGACGTCATTATTCACGAGACTATTTAAATAAGAAGTAGTGATTCAATAACTATAATTTCAAATTGTGTTTATTCAAATTTGTATTTACGAAAATCTCAGCAAATAATGAAAGATAAAAGTAGTTTTCATACATAAATTTATGTCAATTATTAGTTTTTTTTATGTTTTTGTGGGCGGGTCACGTCGAGACTGACACAGATTAACGATTCCCTTAAAACAGCATAAACTAAAACAGAAAATGAATTATGTACATATATATGCATATCCATTTAATACATCTGTCTTTGAACAGTTACAACGTCACTGTAGTAGCTGAGGCCGGGCGGAAAATAATAAAGAAAACTGCAAAAATGTGCGGTGTTGAACACGACCCTCCAAAGGTTCGATTAGCATTAGGAGGCAAACCCTGTGAGCATTGTCCATTGAACCTGGAAATACGTTTGATAAACCAGGGTCCAGTCGCCATTACATTTTCTTGCACTTATGGTGAGTACTCAATACAATTTTTAGTATAAAATGTGATCCAGCAAAACCAAAAAGAATTTTCAAAAGATCAATTTCATATTTTCCCAGTATCACATATCGTTCTACCTTTTCACAAAAGCCAACCTTAAACATCACATAGAAATATCATTTTATATATTCTTTGGACTCAGTTAAATTCCATTTATCGAATCAAAAATGGTTTACATATATAACTATTTCTGCCCTCAGGTAAATTAACTAAAATACAAGTTTAAGCTATGTATATTTATATGTTTTGTACAGGAAAAAACGCAGATATATCCTACTTTTGTGTATGTGGAATCTTTTTATCTACGTACTTGCATATACATGTACGTGTTCTCGTCCTTTTGCAGTCTACCGTCAGTAAGTGTAGGATTAGAAACGCGACAAAACGCGATACGATGACTATATTTCTTGTATTCTTTAAAAATGGCAGTATTTGTTTCTAAAGCATAACGATACGAATTACGTCGAAGAACACTGTAAGCTTAACGTATACGACATTGTATGTTGATATTTCGCCCTTATTTTTTTATTTTAATCAATTATAAACATAGATAAAACATTTTTTATGAATACGTATGTCTGTTGAACTTATTTGATGAAAAAGCTATATTGGTGTTATGTCCCCTACATTATTTATTTGGATTGTTATTACATAGTATGTAATGTTTGTAAATAAGTTTGGAAAAGACTTAAATATGCCCAGCCTGAAGTTTAATCCAATTGACATATACAAAGTCAATAAAATCTGTTGAAATTGAAATAGTACTATGAATGGTATATGATTTGATAAGTCATTTAAAAAAGTTCGGATAGAGGCAGTAGACAATGATATTTATATACAACCTTTAGCAGTGCCACAATCTAAACCTTGAAAACGAGGAAATAAAATCACAGTTATTTGCTTATGACTGTCATATTCACATGAATAACTATATGTATGTTAATTGTGTTGTTTCACGTTGTCAATAGCATTATATTATAGAATTTACATCATTTTTCAACATTTTTGAAAAAAAGCAATCTTTAAATCCAGAAAAGGATGGTGATTGTGACGGTTTCAACGTCCAAAAAACGACGTTTAGTAAACCCTACAGGGGTAAAATAAGACAGAGGATTGAATCCACCACGGGGATGTGGACACCGGGCAAGTATAGTATTGACATCCATGTGACTTCAAAGAACAAACCAGACCTTGGAACCACTGCCTCTTTAACAACAGAAGTATTTCAGCGACCTAGTTTGGGTACTTTTCAGGTAGGCATAAACAATAATAGCAGAATACATAATTTTTGGTAAATTCCTTTTATAAAACTCCCAGTGTTGAAGCTGTTTGCCTGTATATTTCTCCCTAATGCCTTAGCCATATAATCACTAAAGCAAAATATACAATATCTGAGCATCTGATTTTCTGGGTAAATTGTTCCAGAAAGGAACAACAGACTCATATGGAATATACTATAATAAATATCATAAAACTATTTTTTTTAATGATGGGAAGAATTTATGAAAATCGATTATTATTATCTATTGTTTCCCCTTTATTGTGTGCAACAGATGAATCCTGCAAAAGGAAAGGCATTAAATACAACGTTTACCCTCGACATTAATACAGAAGATTACCTCGATAACTATGAGATTTATTATCGTAAGAAATCACAGCCAGACGACCGCCTTAAGTCAATTGGTATACTAATAGAAGAGAGTAATAGTCTTGAATTCAAATTACCACCAGGTAAGTATATCATATAATATTGCAACATCGGGATATTGTCGCCGCATTTTAATCATTCGCATTTTTCGTCCTTCCCAATGAGAGCGAATTTATCAAAAGAGCGAATAGAAATAAACAGCATTCCCTTTATAGTTATTACGTTTTAAAAGCGAAACTAATAGTGGACGAACATGTTTTTACTCGTGAAGGGCGAACATTTGACTAGGCGAAAGTATCTCGATAAACAGTATAACACTACAGATATTTTCCAGGTGGAAACAGATAAACCTTACTATAAAACGTACGAAAACCAGCTTGACATTAGAAGAAAACATCTTGATTTAATATACACAATTTGTTGTGTTTGCCTAAAGACAAACTTAAAGTATTATGTTTGTCCTTATCGATCCACATGACGCAAAGTTCGTGCAGTAACTTCGTGTTTAAATAAATTCATTTTAGCGTACAACCGGCTCACTGGGAAGGTAATGCCTATCACACGGGATGGCTTTGTAACTCCTCAGTCTGTCTCATTGGATATCATTTCCCATACGTTACAAGTCTTTTTCAGCATTTTGCATAACTATATGAAATATATGAAATATTTTGTGTTGATGAGGGGGAGGGGGGGGGGGGTAGAGAAAAATTAAAGTGTAAATAATAGCGTAACTCGAACTAAAAATAAACAGTAGGCTGAGATACGAAGACAGTAAAGATATCCTCGAATATCAATGGAAAAGCAACAGTGAATAAGAGCAGGTGCTATGGAAAAGTAAACGTCCTCCAATAGCTGTATTGGCCATCCTTATCGTGTTGTGTTTTTTTCAATTTGTGAACTGAAGAACATATACAGTAACTATTCATTTGTTTGCCATTACATATGTTGGGAAAGAGTTTCATTATTGAGCTAATTAAAACAATCTATTCAGTAACAAAAGAGTTGGAATTTATCTTTCTGCACGAATAAATCAATATATTGATATTGCTTCAATATAGCTACACTGTTTTGCATTGCTATATTTTGTATCATCTAGTATGTGACAATAAGGATGATTTGAAATTGTTTGCGACTATATCCAGGTGAACTTGATATCATGGTCAGAGGTTGTAAGGAAGACAGATGCACAGAAAAGGCATTGGATGAAGCAGTAGATGTTAGCGAAATTTCAGAAGAGGACGCTCTTAAAGTCTTAACAGATCTGCAAGACCCAAGTATATCTGTATTTGTTATGCTATGTTTCTTAACTCATGTTTAATGATAATTTCAGTAGCCATGTTAGATTTCCATAAATATTATGTTTGACTTTTTATATGAGATAATTTTTATTTTTTTTGAAACTCAGGTCAAAATACAATGTAATTTGCTTCGGGATATTAACCGTTTATAGCATCAAATCATATATATTAACGCAAACGTGTTTTACTATTGCATATTCATGAACGAAGTGATGATAGAAAAAGTCAAGTACTTTTATTTAGAAAACTATTGGACTTATGAATAATACAATCCGTACATGTTTATGTAAAGATTGCAATACAGAATTAACGACAATAGAGATTTACGCTTTTTTATTGTTTTCAAAATAATGTGTAATTCTAGATGATCTTATTGAGGCTACAGCCATAATGGTTGGTAGTGGTAACCGTTTCACTCCAAGTCCGGAATTAAAAAAAAACCTAGAAAGCGCTACATTGAAACTCGCCAATGAGATTTCTCCGTGAGTAAAAATCATGACGATTTTCCAATTCTTTTTATGTATATTTTTCGCATGATAAGCTTGGTATACTTGTTCTGTGACAATATCCATGCTAATTATTATACTTAATTTCCATGATCACAATAAGAGACACGAAGGCAAGACATACGTTTTGAATGCTTACATACAGACTGGACTATGAAACAAACAAAAAAGATATAGATTTCAATTTCATTTCAAAGAAAATTTTGAAAGGTTGTCGTTAGCTTTTTCTGCCTTGCTCCCTATAGCCTCGTTCAATTGAATGCCTCTAGTTCTATAATTATCTTATATGAAATAAACACTCGGTTAAAATTCTATTTATGCATGCAGACTGCAATACGAACGGTTGCTGTTATGTTTTGTTAACTTACTATATGTACTAACTAAAGCTCTTTATAATTACTTTACCTCATTAAATTACAAAAAGAACAGGTGTATCTGCTATGAAAAAAAACAATAGTTCGATACGTTATATCTTTCAGAGAAATCTTCGAAGAATCTGTGGAGAAGATCGCCAAGCTGTTAGACGTGTTACCCATCGTGCAAATGGTAGAAGATTTAAAGAAAGCTGTGTTTGATGGACTGGATAAACTGCTTCGAGATCAAACTGGTACGGTCTCTAATCAACTAATTTACATGATAATTACGACTTCATAATGACAATATTTCTATTGTTTCGAAAAAAAGGAATTATTTGCTGAAATTTGACCACAAAATTGTCATGTACTTGTTGAACTAGGTCTTAGGTTAAATAATAGGTATTTCATCCGATAACTTATGTCAAAGTTATTTCAATGTACCTTTGACCCTAATCCTGTTATATCTGATGTATGTGAACAAGTGACTTAGATAAATTCTGCACGAACAAGGATAAAAATGGCGGAACAGCCCGAAAGGGATTTAATAGGGATAACATTTGACTAGAACGAAACGGAACGAATTGAAAATGACATATTTTTACGTAACGGCTCGAAATGTATTACTGAAACGAAATGAAGGAATGAAAACCTAAAATATATTAAATTGAACGGTGAAAACCCTGAATGAATACTGCTGGCCAGTAATATTGCGCACCTAATGAAATAACTAACAATCCACTGGGAAAAATACGAAACGAAATACTCTATTCTATCAGAAAGTTATGATTTTGATAAAATGGACGTTCTAAAACTCAAAATAATGTACCTTACCCGTTTTTCATATAATGTTACACTTTCCCCTATTCATGAGTATGCTCTTTATCTTGAAAAATCAAATACTTGTTTTAAGCTTCCTACATTTCTTTTAATTACACTTAGCATTCTTGTCTGGGAGTGGTATGTTGATATATTTTCCTCCATGTGATATCGCAGGTCTGACGCCGATTAAAGAGTGTCATTTCGCTGAAATGTCCAACACAGTGTTCCATCTGATTCCATTATACTAATGATGAGATAATCAGAAGTGGCGATTGCTCTACATGCTAAATACTAATCTCAACTACCATTTTAAGAACTTTAGTATGGCCATGCCTGTATACAGAACCCGTTACCTTCTTAACTTGATGAATGGTTAATACAACAGCTAAGTCAGGATATTACAGACAAGTCTCTAGAACACTAAGATTTGGTTAGGTAGTAGGGAGAAAATACATAGATCCCGAATGGTGCAATGGCTGCAGCAAATTTATTTTGTGCACAAATTCCCTATCCTGCAAGGAGTTCCCACATTAGTTGTGAAAGGTAGAATACTAGTAAAAACACACACACGCCTACACACAAAACAATACAGAAGAAAACATATGCTTTGAAAGTATAAGGGGAAGTGGCACACTTTGTCTTTTAAAAGTAAACAAAAGTTACAATATACATCTAGCACATGTTAAATAGCGATTTTCGTATAAATACACAGATTTATTGACATAAAAGTATACTTGAGTACAATTTAGTTGGTTATGAAATTTCCTCGACTGTTCCAATTTCAGATGCTTCAAGACGAAAGAGATCTGTAGACGATGCCATCGTACAACTACTTACTGTCGATCAAGTAAGTAAAATCGATAATTTGAAAAGTACTGAAAAAGTATTTCATAATTTCGGTCATGGCTTCATTATTGTTTTTCTAAGAGAGTGGTTTAAAAAATGATGAAAAGTTCAATCATACACAAGTCATAAAAATCAATACTGTTGAATGGTTTTTTTTTATATTTATTGAGTAAACGTATTGATACATTTTTTTTATTGAATGTGTCATATGAAAGCATAATGCATGTAATACTATATTTATATATATATATATATATTTTTCTAGGCTCAAACAATGCTCCTTGCCCTTGTAAATTTATTCCAAAACGTTTCCGAAAATGATATCACTGAGGCAGATGGTGAGCGATTTGTGGATGACATGGAAACGATTGGATATCGTTCATGTGCTAACAAGGAGGTTGTGTATCCCGATAGTGACCCGGTATTTCTAAACACAGGGGATGTTCTGCTCAAAGTCCACGAGCTATTGATTGATGATGACGGATTCGCTATACGCAATCACAATATGACATGTACCAACTGTTCTGAATACACCAACAAAACAGCCCTGGTCAGTAGTAACAATTTTGTAACAATTTTGTAGACGTTCACAAAGTTAAAGTATGATATAAGTAAGTAGTAGTACTTCCAATACAATGCAATTTTGCTACCATTGCTATATAAAACGTTGAAATATTGCCATCGTATTCTGTCCGCACAATTTTATCGATTGACCTTTATTTTTTAACATAAAAATTGAAAGACACAATATTTTAGATATTTACAATGTGTATATGTATATTTTGATATTAATATTATGTGTGTTCTTAAATTCGGTATCATAATAATAAACGACTGGTGTTGACCTCCTATTTTGAAAGAACCCATCTACATCGTAGTTGTTCTTTAATGTAATTATAACACTTGTTTTGCTCTCATTTATGTATAAAGATTTAGTTACTCGTGTTATAAAAAGACTGTTTGCCACTACATATATATCAATATAAGAGGCTACTGATCATTTCAACTGAACAAAGAACTCCTGTTTTGACATATAGTGGTTTTAGATTTGGCACAGCCTCTAGTAATAATCGGCCAGGTTAATTATTTTGTGTTTCTTTTTTATGTATTAAAAGTAAATGTAATATTCCACAATACATCGATTTAGGCTGCCGCAGGTTTAAGATATAAATAATACATTGTAATTGTACTGTAAATCATCTGTTAATTTCAATTTCGCAGGTAACATTTGGTCAGTCAGTTACGGATAAACTCCAGTTGTGGAACTGTACGGATGAAATAACATGTACCTCGGCATGTTTCGTGACAGCCATGATGAAGAAAGACTTTCTGAGTGCAGGAATGGGCAGTATAGCTAAACTTGATTATAACAGTTCTGCACGCGCCAGTGACATTATCGTTGTGCTTGCGGCAAGTCCAGAAACGTATCAAGAACTGACACTTCACCCTTTCCAAAATAGAATGAAGCTAACCGTCCCTGTGTTTACAAATGCACACGAACTGATGTCTCACTCCTTGCAGGTAATATGCAAACCATCAATTTGGAAACAAAAAAGAAAATTAACATAGCCAAAATAGAAAATCAAATATACAAGTTCTCAGTTATTTATTCAATATAAATTGAATCGGAATCGAGCATTATTGTAAGGTTGGTACCTTTTCAAAATGTAAATGTTGCGTGTGGTTATATTTATTTCAATCCGTTCAATTTTTTTAATAACTCCGCGGAGATAATTCTCATTGATGTGTATTTCATATTAAATGAATTAAGGGCGAAACAATTAATACTACTACTTAATTATTACGGTAATGCGTGTAAGCGAATAATTCCTTTTTCTTACATGACATAGTAAGTATGTTTCGTACGCCGGGCAGAGTCTTGATTAAAGGCATCAAGTCATCCAAATATGGATCACATGTTGAAGAAATTCCGTTGGTTTTACAAATTCAGTTTTTTTCTCAAAATTAAGAAATTCACGAAGATGAGTATTCACTTTCTGGTGGTGTTTAGTCAATAAATGGAATAAAGTAAGCATAAGTTCTTTACTTTTTCACATTGAACAACCCAATTCGGTACGAAAGCACATGTTGGTATGGCGGTGTGTTAGGCATAAAAAATAGTACACTGGACGCTATTGATTTTAACCTCTAACCGCAGCCATTGATCAATTTTTCGGGGTCTATCTCCTATGTTATTTCATTTTGAGTAACCAAATTTGGTAAGCGTATACATCTTGGGATGGCAAAGTAGGTCACTCTGACCTATGGTTTGGCCTTTGACATCAAGCATTTCAAAGAGAATGTCTCGGCTATACATTGTATCTTCTATACTATGTTACCTTGAGTAACCAGATTTGGTAAACAAGTACATTTGGTGATGGTGGAGTGGTAAGTACAAAAAGTAAGTCATTTAGACCTGTGGTATCACCTTTGACCTCAACCTTTTAAAAAGGTTGTTCGGGCATTTTTCTTTACATTTTCACCTTTAGTAACTAGCTTTGGTATGCAAGTATATATTTGGACGGCAGAGTTGCAAGTACAAAAATTAGGTCACTTAGACATGTGAATTGACCTTTGATCTCAACCTTTGAAATGTTAATCCTGGCATATCTTCTATACTGTTTCATCTGGAGTCACCAGATTTGGTATGGAAATTGAGGTAAAGTCAGTTATGCGTGTTACAACAACACTGATCGGGTTTTTTCTATCGTCAATCGTTTCTGCCCTATGTTTAATTATTATATAAATAGATAAATAAAATATACAACATTTGATAGAGCGCCCTATCTAGCTAAGCTAACATAAGCCACTCTAAAGCGCTTTACAGTACATAGATATACAATTTTATACAGTCAATACAATTAGCATATATATTAATCAATACAATATTGAGGAGTTCGCAGGAGCTGCCTTATCAGGCGCTAACTACTAGTCCTATGCCACCTGGCTTATATCTCCCTATGTGTGTTTGTGCTGGAGATGTATTGTGTTGCGTTTGCAGTGGAATCGTGCTTCCAACGGTATCATTTACAGAAAGTGCTTATTTTATTTCAAAAGAGTCAAATCTTATTATTATTGTTCAGTGTAACGCATGGGTTGACAAAGCCTGGTCAGCCGATTCCTGTCTGACAAGCGAACCCATGATGGAATCGGATGGAACATATAGAGTTGTCTGTTCTTGTGTTGGTTTCGGATATTTCAGGTAGGTAATCCTTAAGATACATAGAATGATTAAACAATATTGAAACAACACAAAAAAAACTTTTGTGTGCGATTTTTTTACTCAGTCTTTTTATATAAGTGCAATTATTTGGTTCTCAATTGTCTACCTTCATAATTAAAATTTACCACAATTAAAACGATATTGCTATAAAAGTCTATCGAATTTCGATGTTCACCCGAAATATCAACATCCAAGAGACCCCTTCACGCAGGTAAGTTTACTTGAAGAAGTCAGATTTTTATCTTTGAAATCTTTGATAGAGAACAAATGTATCATACTCAGTTGTGTAGATATATTATTGTTAACGAAGAGTTTTAATCATACGCACTCAGTCTTTAAATATATTTCGTCTTTTATGCACAAGCAATGTTATTTAATGACACATACGTTTCTTTTAAACTCTCTTTATATGACTTCATTTATTAAACATACTAACAATTCATCAATTCAATATTCATCGGCTATTTTATGAGATGATCGTTTATTAATTTGGTTTATTTTGATAAATCAGTCAATTCCAATATTATGATAATCGTTTATCTTTTCTGTAGTGTTATGAAAGAACAAATTGATGAGAGCGTCACTTCTACGACAAGTTCCACCTCATCAAGTGAAAGTTCCACCTCATCATGGGAAAGTTCCAGCTCAGCAAGCGAGAGCTCCACATCAGCGAGTGAAAGTTCCAACTCATCAAGTGATTGTTCCACTGTAGCAAATGATGGTTCAAGTACAGCTACAACAGTTACAACTTCAGCCACTACAGTTCGTTCGGCAGTCAAAAAAGGTAGAATAGAACTAATTTTGTATGTACCAGGATTAATATCGAATACATTTCGAAAAAAAACTACGTTTTATTAATTAGTCAGACATGTAAACTCACATGTTTTGTATTTAATGGAGAAAATTTGGTGTGTATACTTTTGTAATCAATGCATGGTGTTTTGTCTCAATAATATATAAATTAATACAGTAATTTGTTAAATCTTTGTTTCCATCATGCTATCATATATCCATGATAGTACAACTATATATGTCGCTTTCTTTAGTTCAATTCGCGAGTTGTTACTTGAACCCCAGACCTTATTTTACGAATATTTTTCTCAACAAGAGAAAATAGAACTCATAATTTTGCAAGTAAATTTACCCATTATTTACAGTCGTAAAACACCACGCGGTTCTTCCACTAGAAATAACCCTCATCATGTATGAACACTAGGAATTACCTGATTGAATACGCGATAGCATTAATGTGTTGAGTGAAAGATTAAACAATATAAACACATTGTTCTGACTTCATGTGTATAACATATTAAATAAATAACAATATAAATGTCCCAATATCAAACGTAATGTAAAACGTAATTTATTTCAATTTGAACTCCATTAATACAGGTAATATAAATATAAAGATATCAATATTGTTATTATAATATGTAATGATTAGAAATACAGTTTTCAAACACCTTTATATATTTTGGAAATGATTCCCTGTTTCTTTAGAAATCAAATTTAAAGTCAGTGGATCTTTGACTCAACTTACTGGAAGCACAAGCTCAGCTGACGTCAATGCGAATTTAACAAACCAAATCGCTGAACATTTAGGAATAAGCTCAAATCGGATACAGGATTTGGAAATGCAGCAAGGTAAGTTTTGCAATATTATGAAAACATAATACTCTACTTTTTTTATAATATTTAATCATGTAAATCATGTAGCATTTTTATGTTGCAATACAGATGAATAATATATATTTTAAATCAATAGTCTTTAGGAATAGGAGCACCATTCATCTGCTTACCTCTCATATTTGGCTCATGAACTTATTCCCGGAAAATAGCACGTTGCGACAACATAGATATCCTTTTACTAGAAATAGGACTTGGTTCTACGTATTAGCAACCGCACGAGACAAATAATCCCCGCTATTACTCTGAACCGCGGGGATATTTAATTTTCAACTATGGTTAAATCAATCAAATGAATATTTTCTAAAAAGAAATTAATGAAAAATGTCAAAACCATATTGAAAAGATGAAAGTGATTTTAAATACTGTCAGTTATTTTCAAAACTGACTGAAATGATGAGGTTTTCCATTTGGGTCCCCTGTAAGCTATTTTTTTCTAGTAGGCCTGACTCAGCAAAATGACCTCTTTAATTGTACACACATCTTGATAAAACAAAACAGAATTCATAGGGGAAAGGTAGAGGTGTTTATTCATTAATTATGTTAAAAAAAGTTATTCCAGATACATGTACAAAATAGAAAACATCATTATTTGTTTCTTTAAAAACGTATTCCATTTCGGTAACCCTCAAAAATATAACATTGTAGTTTTCAAGTCATATCAGCTTTATATATTGGGACAGGGTTGCTGAAATAATCGATGTAACGTTTAATGTTTAGCTTGAAAAGTGGAAATGAAATGTATTTAACGTATATTTGACATAAAGAAATCGACGTTCTATTGTTGTAAGGCCGAATGTCTTAAAATATGCCAGAATTACCATAACATGCCGCAACAAATGACTTCCCTTAAACACTTACAAATTACAAAACAGGGAATGTCCGATTCAATTATATTGTTGTCCATTTCATTGTGGAACGAGTAGGCGATTATCACTGGGAAATCATTTTTATCGTTATACGTAGGCAGTTATTGAGTACACTCCCTCATTTTGCTATAAGCTTTCTGTTATTCTTACACGTAAAATGTTATGAAATGCTTTGAGACTCGACACACAAGGCGGCATCAACTAGATGTTGAGTTGTAGCAGAACGGGCTAGATTTTAAAACAACCTATCATTGTGTGAGTTCTTGGGGTGCATGCTTGACATGTTGACAAAGTGCGTGTATGAGTCCTAATACAACGCGTCGACTTGGTCGAATACGTATAATCAATCAAATCTGTGGTTATGACCAAGGAAAAATAATTTAGGTTGAAATATCGAGGGATCATAGGACTTTGTGAAGGAAGGTATTTTGTCACTTATATATATTCTTGTTTATCGCCTGTCCAAGTTGTTGGACGATAATTTATATCAGGCAAAATATTAAAGTGCGTGTCAAGTATACAGTATGAAAAGAAAGCTATTGCGATTTAAAGTCACTGCCTTTTCATTTCTTCCCTTAACAGAGACCGCTGCACGACGAAAGAGGTCAAGTGGCCAAGGTAGGTTGATTCAAAAATCGCTTTTCAATTAAAATGTTTATATATCTGTACACAATTGATTTGTAGTATTAAACTATAAGAAAGCTTTTTTATACAATTATTTCAATTTTGAATCCAACCTGTGAATTAACTATACGAGAATATAATCATTTCACACTATAATCACTACCAGGTGATGCAAAAATGAATGAGTCAAAAACTCCAGACGGTGATAATTGAATCAGGAGAAAATATATTAGAATAAATAAAATGAAATAAAATAAAACAGAGGGAGAATTATTGAATATATACTTGTCACCATTACCTCGATGTTATCCAGTTGACTGTTAAAATTCACGAATTTCATTGATTCAAGAAATCTGCAAATCGGAAATTCACGGTGAGTACAAAATCAGCATTGTATGCATCAGCTTGAACTAATAATATAAAGTTATGACAAACCTTTTATCTTCGCGTACTTTTCTTCTCAAATAGGATCAATCATCGTGACGTTTGTGTTAGTGGCTGGCGGGTCACCGTCAGAAATGTCGGTAAATGACTTAGAAAATAGATTGAGGAATGCCATCGTCAGCAGTAACTTGACGCTTACCGATATATCAGGAAACTCCTTAACTGTTGACCCAACATTCTTCCAGTCCAGGTTTGTCCGTGCGCCTCCTGAACCGGGTGAGTTTCTCATGTACACGTTCCCCCTGTACCAGGTACAGTGACTAACTAAATCACCTACCCTATCCTTTTGTTTACATTCAAGCTACATGCTTTATTATTTTAAGTTCAACACATGTAACAATTGTTTAATTGCAAAGAAAATATTTTACAAAGGCTAAAAAGGCAAATTTGGGGGAGAGTAGGGACACATAAGAGTATCACAGACTTCACATCTTTTAAAGAAAAGCAAAAAGGATGTTCTATTGACCTTGACCAACCATGTGCAGATACGCAAACATATATTGGATTTTGTTATGTATAGATATATCTTTTTTTTCTAAAGTCATATACCAATGGATTTCTGTCATTCAAAAATCTATCATCAATTCCTCAATTGAATTCTTCAAAGACGCAGTAGATAACCGGATCTCATTTTAGATAGGAACTATTAAAGAATATTAAGTTTGCTGATTTGGCAGTATTTGAATTCTGAAAATATCACAGACATTCATCTATGTTGAAAATAATTAGAAATATTGTGTAATACCTTCTAAATGTAATTGCGTAGGTTATGTCTGTTGCTCTGGTTTTGTTATTCGGGTCGATACAATAGCATGTTCTTAAATAAAAATGTATAGTTTCTATAGTTTCTAGGTTATTCAATGACTGTTCAATTAAGCNCCCCCCCCCCCCACCCACCCCATCATCATCTCTTCACAATCATAATCATAATAATTTTAATCATCATCATCATCATCATTAGCATCATCATCTTCATCACCATCACCATTCTAATTATCATCATCATCATCATCTGAACGATCTTGGTATCTCGTTAGGTCGTCCACAGTAAATTTACCTGGTTATTAAATATGTTATACAGAAGAGGAGAAAAAGCAAAAGTTAATGCCGATTATCATAGGAGCAGTGGTCGGTGTCCTCTGCCTGGTCCTCATCGTCATCATCATCGTCGTAGTATTGAAGAAGAAGAAGAAGAGAAGCATTATCGACGATACCCCTAGTCCATCGGTAACGCCCACTTTCATGTCTGCGTCTTCACTGAACGGTGACAAACAGACCAAAAAACCATGTAAGAGAACAGAAACTATGACTAATGTCTTTATGCGATGGTTCAATTAACCTAACACAATATATCCATGTTATAACAAGTTTTCACATTGGCAGGGACAATCTTTACCTCAAGCATTATGTTAATAACGTCCTGCTCATACCTTCACTCGTTCGTTGCAAATAAGATACAAAACAATATTTGTATTTAAAGATATTATTTTTAAATCAATTTAGAAATCGTTCGGATAATAGCCCATTTCCGTCAATGTCTTTGAAGAGTTTGTTTTCTCAATTATCACTACTTGACGTTTTTGGTCAAATAAAAAAGGTTCAACATTATTATGTTTTTATAAAATAATCAGTTAAGACTAAAAAAACGAAAGTGCCAAACCTTGAACAATTCAACATATTTATAAAATGTAGGGAAAACTTTATCCAATTAATCATTAAAACCTTTCTTTAAATATCATTAAGACGTGTATGGCGTATCAGCAAGCCCACTGCCGGAAAAGCCTGGTGCTGAACAATTGTATGGCGTCAGCAACCAAAGATATGTAGTTGAAAACGACAGTGGACCGAGCACCAGCACAACTCGGACCAACTCGCCGAGGTCAAAGCCCAACTCTCGCGCAGCAACGCGATCTGACGTAGCGCTTTCCCGCGAAGGTAATCCTTATTCATTATTTTTACATTTTATTCTCATGTGAGAACACTGCATGAGTAAAGATTTACAAAGTACTCGTAATAAAAAGCTGCAACATGTTTAATATTAATTCAATTAATAATTTAGCTTCGATATGAAATATTCATTGTAACTTCTTAAATGAATGATAATAGGTATTTTAGGTGTTCATATTTGTAAGCTTGATATGAAGTATAAGTTTAACATTGTAAACTTTAAAATATTATTTACTAACACTTTGAATATATTTTTCTAAGGAACTGCAACATCACATGGCAGTCAGCACGACAGTCCGAGGCGAGACATGACGCCCATCGGATAGGCGACAAGGATGACAAAAATAACGGGTAAACCTTGAACAAGGTCAACACATGAAACGGTTTAATTTGAAATTAATCAATTAAGAGAAATTGTCTTAATGAAGCATACCAAATACGATAAATAATGTCACTTTTTGTCAATACATTTTGTACGCTACATTATATTTTGATACATTCAAAAAAAAAAAACTCAAGAACAATTCAACCATAAAATACGTCATTGTGTATTGACCGGAGAGTAACAAAGAATTTCCATCCAATAACAATGCTCGGTTTTCCTGACACAGTAAGAGGACTCGAACTAGACCTCTCAATTGCTACATGTACATATATAATATTATTTCAAATTTTGTTAAATCATGTAAATTTTCCTACACAGCATTTTGCAGTTTGGTACAAATTGGGGAACACAACTTTGATTTTAGAAGCAATCCAATTTACTTAAAATTTCACCTTTTTGAATAGTTTATATTTTCGTTATTTTGAGGTAGAGATATTTTTGTAAACAAAATAGATTTATGAAAACATTCGGGTTTTTTTAGATAAAAGACACAATCGTTCCGTACCCTTTTAAATTACAGCTTCGGTCAATATTTTTTGATACGTGTTTAAGAATTGCAGAGAAAAAAAAAGAATTTAATATAAATATTAGGTATGTAGTGAAAGAGATGATTTTTTTTATACTATTCGCTTTTCTTTACCCTTTTAGTTATTTCTTATATTTGTCGTATACCATGTGAACAATTATTTTAAAAAGTGGTTTTACATCTAATTAACAGCTAAATATGCCATTTTGTGTAAAAGATTCAAAGATTTTTTTTCCAAATGTGATTTTGTTAATACTTAAACATTTTCTAACCATTATTTTGAATTGGAACTTCCAAATTTGCTGTAACACGTGTAAAATATTTTAAAATACCCGGACTATTTTTGTACATTTTACCAAAAAATCCAGTTTTACAAATGACTGGTCATTGTAATACAGCTGTAAAATGATAATGTTGAAGTAAACTTATGTTTTAATTAGTGCAATAGTTTATGATGAGTACATTTACCACGATTACGTCATACTTTATGTTTCTCTAGTAGCGATTCTTCACTGTTCTTCTAACCCCTTAGGGTCCCAAATAAAAGTCGAAAGCATAAAATTCCTCAAATAAAGTCTAGCTCATTATTGAAACCCGCGCGGGACGTTAGTCTTATTTTAGATATGTGTTCAAGTTCATGGTGTGAAACGAAAAGTATTCAGATATAAAAAGACTGTTTATTTCGTAATAGAAATGGCCATCTTTATTTGTAATAGTTTATTTAACCAAATATGATTTTTTTATTAAAATAGTTTTAGAGGTTAATTCCAGATACAGACATATATATATAATTTGACTGCACAAACCAAAGACTAAATTTCTAAACCACACTTATATTTCACTAAAGACTGCGTTCAAATTTGGGGTAAGTTTTCTTTACGATATTGGCATTTATTCATGATAATGCTATAAACTGATTTAGCGAAACGATTTATTGACTACCTATATATTTGTAAAAGTAAAATTGAATTTGTATATGAATCAAACAGAATTGTGTAAATGTATGCATAAGGGCACTGGGTGAATAAATACTTCATTTTTCTGCATTTCTGTGGTTTTTCCTTTATCTTTTACGATATGATTGCTTTTTCACGTCAAGGTATCAAGTAAGTGCAATTACTGGAGCATTTTGATTAACCACATTGAGTACCTTACTTGTCAAACGCCATTCCAAATACTCAAATAAAGAAACGCATTAGATAGATGCTACATTTCTTGCGGTATATTTCGTTTTATGTATCCAGTCAGAAAAATGACAAAATGAGATTTTCTTATTAGTTTATTACTGGGACAAGGAATTATGCTTGAGTATGAGAACGATTTCATGAATACGGGCCAAGGTGTCAGTGTGATGTCATGGATAAAAATGTCACAGTTGCAAATATCGCAACAACTCAATTATTGGACCAGATCATTTAGGGAAAAATACTTCTGGCTTATGCATTAGAAAGGTAATTCTAATGCTGACAGGGACAAATAGGAAAGACAGTAATTTGGTTCAAATAGGAAGAGAAAATATTATGTGACAGGAATAAATCGAAAAAAGAATATTGTGCTTTCGAAACAACACTAGAGTCAAATAGCAGATAAATGACAAACAACAATGATAGTGACAAACAACATTGATAGTGACAAGCAATAATGATAGTGACAAACAACAATGATAGTGACAAACAACAATGATAGTGACAAACAACAATTACAGTGACAAACAACAATTACAGTGACAAACAACAATTATAGTGACAAACAACAATGATAGTAACAAACAACAATGATACTGACAAACAACAACGATAATGACAAACAACAATTACAGTGACAAACAACAATGATAGTGACAAACAACAATTACAGTGAAAAACAATTATTACACTGACAAACAACAATGATAGTGGCAAACAACAATTACAGTGACAAACAACAATGATAGTGGCAAACAACAATTACAGTGACAAAAAACAATGATAGTGACACACAACAATTACAGTGACAAACAACAATGATAGTGACAAACAACAACTTCAGTGATAAACAACGATAATGACAAACAACAATTACAGTGACAAACAACAATGATAGTGACAAACAACAATTACAGTGACAAACAACAATGATAGTGACAAACAACAATTACAGTGACAAACAACAATGATAGTGACAAACAACAATTACAGTGACAAACAACAATGATAGTGACAAACAACAATTACAGTGACAAACAACAATGATAGTGACAAACAACAATTACAGTGACAAACAACAATGATAGTGACAAACAACAATTACAGTGACAAACAACAATGATAGTGACAAACAACAATTACAGTGACAAACAACAATGATAGTGACAAACAACAATTACAGTGACAAACAACAATGATAGTGACAAACAACAATTACAGTGACAAACAACAATGATAGTGACAAACAACAATTACAGTGACAAACAACAATGATAGTGACAAACAACAATTACAGTGACAAACAACAATGATAGTGACAAACAACAATTACAGTGACAAACAACAATGATAGTGACAAACAACAATTACAGTGACAAACAACAATGATAGTGACAAACAACAATTACAGTGACAAACAACAATGATAGTGACAAACAACAATTACAGTGACAAACAACAATGATAGTGACAAACAACAATTACAGTGACAAACAACAATGATAGTGACAAACAACAATTACAGTGACAAACAACAATGATAGTGACAAACAACAATTACAGTGACAAACAACAATGATAGTGACAAACAACAATTACAGTGACAAACAACAATGATAGTGACAAACAACAATTACAGTGACAAACAACAATGATAGTGACAAACAACAATTACAGTGACAAACAACAATGATAGTGACAAACAACAATTACAGTGACAAACAACAATGATAGTGACAAACAACAATTACAGTGACAAACAACAATGATAGTGACAAACAACAATTACAGTGACAAACAACAATGATAGTGACAAACAACAATTACAGTGACAAACAACAATGATAGTGACAAACAACAATTACAGTGACAAACAACAATGATAGTGACAAACAACAATTACAGTGACAAACAACAATGATAGTGACAAACAACAATTACAGTGACAAACAACAATGATAGTGACAAACAACAATTACAGTGACAAACAACAATGATAGTGACAAACAACAATTACAGTGACAAACAACAATGATAGTGACAAACAACAATTACAGTGACAAACAACAATGATAGTGACAAACAACAATTACAGTGACAAACAACAATGATAGTGACAAACAACAATTACAGTGACAAACAACAATGATAGTGACAAACAACAATTACAGTGACAAACAACAATGATAGTGACAAACAACAATTACAGTGACAAACAACAATGATAGTGACAAACAACAATTACAGTGACAAACAACAATGATAGTGACAAACAACAATTACAGTGACAAACAACAATGATAGTGACAAACAACAATTACAGTGACAAACAACAATGACAGTGACAAACAACAATTACAGTGACAAACAACAATTACAGTGACAAACAACAATGATAGTGACAAACAACAATGATAGTGACAAACAACAATTACACTGACAAACAACATTGATAGTGACAAACAACAATTACAGTGACAAACAACAATGACAGTGACAAACAACAATTACAGTGACAAATAACAATGATAGTGACAAACAACCATTACAGTGACAAACAACAACGATAGTGACAAACAACAATGATAGTGACAAACAGCAATGATCGTTAACAATGCATGAACACAATATTGCAGAATGTATATCAACATAACGAATTTATTAACAATGTATGCAAATTACATTCAACGTGGAAAAATTTACATTAATGAACACAATGACAAATTCTCATCTATCAGTAAATTAAGTTCTTGTAACTGTATGTTCGGTGACAATTATTATTATTTACATGTGTTATGACGAAAGGTATCACAGTCGTATACTACAGACATCACGTAGTACGACAATGATATACATTGTGTACTGTTACTATTGCGTAATATTACCATGCAGCACTATGATCATATCGTTATATGTCGGTGACTTTGACGTTCTACGATCATGACGTCATATGGTTTGCATCGTACCGTGCTTTGAAATTCTATAGTGATTTGTTATACATTTATATTCAGCGTTAAGAGAGAAAAACCCGTGAACTATCATTCCCTATAACTGAATATGTGCCTCAAATTACAGTTTCCGGAGAGCTACATAAACAATGTATACAAAATATATTCAGGAAACGTTGGACACATCTCCAGCTAGTCGTCTTAGCTAACTGTTAGTTTTCAAGTAACCATGGAGAGGAGTTGCATTAATGAACTTTGTCGGTACCAGATGACAAATTAAAACCATTCAAAATATGAACATCTCAACCATCGCTAAGAAAATCAGTTTCAACTAATTTGAACCAGAAGTCATCTTGGTGATAAGTGTAATTAATAACTTATAGGAAAACAGATATGTAGTGATAATGTTATGAAAAGCAAGTTAAGCTAGAATGTTCCTTTATTCTTGTGTTGAGAAGCTTTCACAAAATAACAAAAACTTAAGTGCTGAAGTTTAGATTTTCCTCAGATTTATCCACGCTCTAAATATCGTAACATACACTTGGCTTTTACGATATATCACACGCATAAAAATCAATACAGATATATACGAGAGTTGAGTTGGAGTTGTCTCTCTTTGAACAATTTACGCAAAAGGCAGATCGTTGTTAAGTTCGCATAGTACGAACAATTACATTGCATTATCATACATATTGATTAGAATCAATACCTGGCAGAGACACCTGACTGCACCCAGTGTGGGAAAAGAGAAGCGTTTGGACGCATCCTATCTTCAAAGCACGTTGTTCTTTCCTAGTGGAGGTATTCATGGTTTCACAGCCAGGTACTACGGTAGTTAATATAATATATATAAACTTCATTTATTTTTCAACAACTATAAACTAATATTCTAACATATATTTATCACTCATGGTGCACTGGATGGAAGCGCGCAGATGGTCTTAATGTGGGTCAAAACCGGAGTACTCGGATAAAACCCACGTAGCCGGGCAGGTGACCCAATGCCTTTTCATGTCCGATCGGGGAATTGAAGCCCGGTCGCCTTGCTGAACAAATACGATAGTTGACAGATGTGATAAAGCTGTAAAACAAGTCAAAGAAACTAAACTGGAAACTAAAACAACCCAATCTGTGAGCGAGGGCGAACTACAGACAACAGCAGAAGAAAAGTCTTCGAAATCCTTGACCAAGCAGGAGAATAAAAGTCTGTAGTTGACATCAACCAGAAGTTGATATTAACATAAATGCATATAGTACCAACCAATCATCGGCCAGATCTAGTATTGTTTGAATTGGGACAGATACGATCTCAAATGCAGTGGACCCCCACCCCCATGAAACTTTCTTGTTATGTATTCAAAAGTCTAGTATAAACATTTGAAAATGTATTTGGAATTAAGCCTCTCCAACATTATTCAAATCATTGACAAAATATGAATACTTTTACTGATTATCACGAGTACAAAAAAGCAAAAGATATGTGTTTGAACATGAAAACGTTTCATTAATACAGACGCGGGACTCGCAGCGTCAGACATACATACACACATACACGTTATGTATTTATACATGTAGCACGTGCTGATTAAATACTCTCGTCCAAAACGTGGTCCTTGGAGATTAATTGAGTTAAATAGTCACTTAATCTTTACCTTTATCAAAGATTGAACGATGATCATCGTCTTATATTCTGACCATCGTCTTTTGTTCAGACAATCGTCTTACGCTCTGACCATCGTCTTCTATTATGACCATCGTCTTGTGTTCTTGCCATCGTCTTGTGTTCTTGCCATCGTCTTGTGTTCTTACCATCGTCTTGTGTTCTTGCAATCGTCTAATGTTCTGACCACCGTCTTATGTTTAAACATCGTCTTATGTTCTGGTCATCGTCTTATGTTCTGGTCATCG